AGAAAGAAGGTGGCAAATTATTTCCTCAGACATTCTGTAATGTCTGGTTTTTATTATTATTACAGAAAATTAGCTTTTTGTGGTGTGGGAGATGTTGTTTGAGTCAAAGAAAAATAGCTGTAAAAAAAAACAGCTTGTGTTTTCTTACTCTGGAGTTCCAATATCTGCATTAATTGACTTTTTTTTTTTTTTAAAGGAAATTTCAATATTACAAAAGTGGCACTAATAACTTAATGGAAGTTCTGTTTTTTTTTTTAAAGTGTAACAATTATGCCTTGTTAGCCCTTTGTTTTTCTAGTTTAACGTATAAAAAAATCGTATCCTCTTACAGTCCATCCGAGGTCTCCTCCTACACTCTATACGTTGGACGGCACCAGCTGAATGGGGTGAACAAGCACGAGTCTTCCCATCGTGTGAGCCGCATAGTAATTCAATCTGGTTATCAAGACCCCAATAACGGCAAAGATATAGCCCTGCTGAAGCTGTCCAGCCCAGTGGTCTGGTCCGACTACGTCCAACCTGTGTGTTTGCCTTCGCCCGGCTCATTGTTTCCATCTGGCATGAGTTGCTACGTCACTGGCTGGGGAAATATCCGGGAAGATGGTAAAGCTCACTAATTTCTTTTTCTCACATTACAGGGACATTTCTCAATAGTAGACTATTCTGAAGAGATTAATTTCAGTGTCTATTACATATATAGCAATGTCTTTCAAGCTTCAACGTTAAACCTAAAAGATTGTCCTTCATGATTTCCAGTCCCTTATTTCCTGGAAATCTTGTTGAATTTCTTCAGCTTGGCAAATTAAGATATTTAAAACTAAGAGGAGTATAAAAAGGAAACATGAGAATATGACATCTTAAATAGTCATTAAAATATCTGTAAATTGGTTGTATCATCAAAATTAAGGAGGAAGGAAATAGAATAAGGGAAGTGTTTTACTTGTTTATGGGAGTATAAGACTCTAAAACATGCCTTTAGCTGACATAGCAACCCATTTAGAAAAGTTACTATACCAAAATTGTGAAAAAAATAAAAATTTTTCCTTTCAATATGCTCTATCCAGGACTATAAGTCGAGAAGTTTTTGTTTTACCTGGTTTAATTCTGTATAAAATCTTCTTTTAGGAACCTTTCGCAATCCAATTATTAGTCGATTAATAGAAAAAATAATCGAAAGATTTATCGATTATCAAATAATCATTAGTTGCAGCCCTAGTTATGAGTAACTTTCTTATTTATGAAACTTGTATCAATAGAATTCGGATCAAAAGTACCAAGTTAGGCCCCCATCTGATTATCAGAACACTGGCCAAACAGTTCTCAGTCTCTGTTGTTTTTTTATGCAAATGTCCCTTGAAGCCTTGCAGAACAATAGAGTATACATGAAACCTGTATTTATAAAGCACTTTTTAATAACAACGGCCATCCAAGTACCATACATAAAACTGAAAATAAAAGTAAAATGTGTACAGATGAAATGAAAAAATAATAAACAAAATGGCTTACTGTTGTAAGCATTTTCTCTTGCTGTTATAAGAGCCTATGTTGACTGTAAGCAATTCTGTAATGAGACTAAATTATCTCTGAACTAACTAAAAGCAACAGTTGCTGTTCAAGCAAATATTTCACAATACAAACTAAAAGGTGGAAACAGAAACCTAGCTTATAATTATCATTAGAAAGTAAAAAAATTTTAGACAATAGATTCCTAATGTTTTCACAGTGGCTATTTGAATGGGCCACAAAGAGGCTGGCCTTCTACAAACGGAACAAGCTGTGTGTTTGACGCTGCAGGTCTAGCGATGGCTAGATCTTTAGCATTTGCAAAACTTTGGCACACAGGCTAACGGAGACGGCTCATATGTTTTAGAACATATTGTACAATGGACATATTGTATACAGTCAAAAACTGAATGAGCTACTCTGTGAGCTGCTTGAAAGAAAAACTGCAAATCTTTCAGCATCCAGTTCAGAAGTCTGTCCTTACTCCTCCCTTTCAGCTCCAGAAATGACGAAAAATCAAAAATGATTTATAGATTTATCTATAGCTTATAGCTTTATCCCTGCCTAGACTAAACCTCTGTGAACAAAGTTGGAGTTTGTATTTTTTAAGAAGGTGAATCTGTGTTTTCAAAATGATTCTTCTGTAAATAGCTGCTTTGATTTGAAAAAACAAACAAACTGTTTTTGGCTTAAGTCGGGCTTACACTGTGTTTTATTAAATTTTTTTTGTGTGTTTTTCGGTCGGACTTTCTGATTGTGCGTCATGTAATGTACAGGAGGTAATGAGGGGCGATCAGCCTCTCACAACCATCTCCCGATCAGGAATCCTGAGGTCGGGAGAAAATCAAACATGTTTGATTTTCAGTCAACCGTTGTGGGCAAATCGCTCAGTGTGCAAACAAGGACTCTTCTACTACCTCTCAGATGAAAACACAGAAGCATGACAGGGATGTAGGTGAAATGGAGTTTTTTCTGCAAAATTCACAGACCATAGGAGCCACATTTGCTCAGCCATGTCTTTGTCCAAATATGTCCCCACCTTTTTTTTTTAGGGCTTTCAGCACAAAATTACAAACCCTGTGGTTTCATCCTACAGTGTGAGCTGCCACTGCTTGCAACAACTGCAAAAATCGTACAGTGTATGCCCGGCTTTAGATAATTTTTTTCAGGAGCTCAGGCTGCTAGTTTCCTGCTGACATGTATTAAGAAATTACACTCACAGCAGGATGAACACTAAAACTTTTCTGTAGATCAACACAGTCTTTGTAGCTGCTTCGAGCAAAGCAAAAGCTGCTGGAAAAATAGGTGGAAGAAAAACATGTGGTTGGGAAAAAAACAATAATGGCAAAAGCTTTGAATAGATTTAAGCAGAAATGTACTTCTGCTTAAACAAGGCATGTACTGCATCTCTAGTCAGATCCTTAAGGCCCAGCTAATAACAATCAACTATCAACTCTGCAAAAAGGAAGCTCTTAGAGGTTGAAGTTAGTGGAGAGGTTACATTTCTTTTTGTTTCTGTTCCAGTTTGAAGTTTTGTTTTGTGGAGATATTTTACCTTCTGGCGTTGATTCATTGGGCAGTATGAAGTTAGCAGTCATGTATCAGGACATTTTGGAGCTCTTCATCTTTATGCTATATTATGTTGATGCTTTTTCACTTTTCAGGAGCTCTTAGCACCTCTCTACTAGGGTTTTCACGATACTAAACTTTTCAACTCGATACCGATACTAAGGAAAATATTCGATACTCGATACCATTTTCGATACCACAAGGATAAAATTTCAACAGAAATATTTTGATTAATAATTAAAATACAATAAATAAATAAATACAATAAACAATAAGAACAACATTTTGAGGTTTTTTGCTGTGCACAGTAAATAGCAAGCTTGATAAAAAACTTACAAAATTAAAATTAAGTTTTCCTTACTTGGCTATGCTTTGCACACATAACAATGACACTAGCCAAACCGGTTAAGAAACAAAAAAGAATTCTCAGCAGCTGCAACTGTTACAAAAAAAAGTCTGAAACTGAAAAGTACACAATATTATTTAATCACACAGTGTTCAGAAAGTGCATTTTCCTCTATTCTGCACTTTAGATGAATGACTGATTAGGTGCGACTGGTACTCGATACTTTTGAAAATGAGTATTGTATCCGGATACAACATTTCAGTATCAATACTTTTTTGAGTATCGATACTTTTGACAACCCTACTCTCTACATGATGTAAGGTACCAATAACTTTAGTAACCAGTGTAACATTATGTTTGATTAGTCAGAAAACTACCCTTGCCTTAACCCAGTAGAAATGACTACAGAATACTGCTTAGGTTAAAATTAGGCCTTTGATCAAACAATGCAGTCGAGCTGAAGTTGGCTTTGAAAGCAAACTGGTTCTTTTCATGCATTACTGATGTAGTTTTTTCCAACACTATAACAAATAATCCTTTGAGTTTTCATTAGCTGTACACCTTATACTAAACGATTACCTTCTATAAAATAAGCCAGTTTGAAATGTATTGCTGTGTAAAAAGACTTGCAGTTTTACCTCTGTTGGAAACCCATAAATAATTAGTCTGTTTCCTTTCCAGTCCCTCTGCCAGGAGTTGGGACTCTTCAGGAAGTACAGGTACTGATCATCTCCCAAAGCTCCTGTCAGGCGATGTATGATACAGACCCGATGGAGAATGTGGACATTCTCAGTGACATGATCTGTGCAGGATACCCAGAGGGTGGCAAAGACTCCTGCCAGGTACTGTTGGAGCAGCTGTTTGTTTTTTATTAAAGTTACAGGAATAAAAATCCCTTGTAAGATCTTTTCACAGTGCATCGATACCTGAGGTTTAATCATAATGACCCATCTCCTCAGGGTGACTCAGGAGGGCCCCTGGTCTGCCAGATGGTAAATGGGACCTGGGTGCAAGCTGGGGTGGTGAGTTTTGGACTCGGCTGTGCTAAACGGAACAGGCCAGGCGTGTATACCAGGCTGACCAGCTACACGAACTTCATCCGCTCCACAGTACCAGAGGTCTCACTGTACGGAGGAGCTCACCGCAGTTTTTCTGGGTGGCTAGTTGTGTTCACTAGCAGCCTGTCCATTCTCATGATGCTTATGCTAACTTGGATATAAACACTTATTTTGCAAGAGGTGGAATAAAGCAGTTAAATTGATAAATAGCCTTAATCAAAATTGAAATTTGTATCCTGAATGCATATAAAGCCATATGAAACTTTTTTAACCTGAATTTTTTTCTTAATAGCCTCAAATACATGTTTAGGGTTTAAAAGTAGATTTCAGGATGAATCAAATCAGGATTATTAGAAATGTCAGTTTTTTACTATTTAACGTTGACACATCTTTTCATTTCATCTTTTTAATGCAACATCAGAATCAGCAGTAATTGTATCTTGCAAGGTGAAAATAATTGAGATTCTTTATTGTGATTGTGACTCCTAAATTCACATGTAGCACTAATAGTAGCAGACAGGTGGTGCTTTAAAAAATCTTTATTAAAGAAAGTGCAGCATGATTTATGAAATGTTTTATGATCTGTATGGAATAAAAATCACTGTGACTTGATACATCTTGCTCATGTTGATTAAAACACAAACAAGTGTTGAGTCAGGCGTCGTGGGGGATGGTATCTGAGAGGATCATGGGCGAGCCGAGCTGCAGCTCCTGCTGCAGAGACTCGAGGTCAGCCGGAGTCATGCGGTGGACCTCGCTCCAATCAGATAGCAGGGAGGCAGAGAGAGGGGTTGAGTCGTAGCTGATAGAGAAAGGGCGGAAAAAATGCAGAGTCAATATTTAAAGGTTTCAAAAAAATCGGATGGCGTTTCCTCTGTATTTTTGTGAAAAAGGTAGAAACTTGGTATATTGATGCAATCCTCACAGAATTCATGAACCCTTTAACAATTTAAGGCTTAGCATGAAATAAAAATTAGACACTGCTGATAAATGAATATTAGTTCTGTTTGCACATAGTTCATCTAACTGGACTGTAATCTACTGAAGATATTGGACAAAAATATACATTTCATCATCTCCAGTGGCTTTTTGGATATTTGGTATGATGTGGTGGTCGCTGAAACCTGTACTAAAGCTCACCTGTCCCTGTCGCCGTGTTGCAGCTCTGTTATTAGAGACTGGTTGAAAAGGTCATCGAGATCGAAGCCCACACCGTACCCAGCCCCACTGCCCTTGGGGGTGACTGAGAACACAGGAGGTAAAATGTCCTCTACCTGACAGAAGAAAGGAATAAAACATTGGGTCAGATGGATTAGGAACCCTTTATAAAAAAAAAAAAAAAAAATTTTGATTTCAGTAGAACCAATGATTAGATTGCTAACCTGGGACTTTGAGAGCTGCAGTGTTACTGTGTGGATGTCGGGGGCAACAGATGACCCTTGTTGTCCCGTGTCTGTAAATCCCAAACTAGGGTGTGGCTGAGAGGGAACCCCTAAATGCCCACATAGATGGTTTATACTTTGTGCAGCCGTTTTCTCACCCATAGAGGGGCAGAGCTTCTCTAAGAGTCCTGTACTCGCAGTGAACGAGTTGAGGCTATTCTGACCTCTAACGTCCACATTTCCATTTGCCTCTCTGATGGTTATTGAAGGAGCTTTGGACAAAAAATTCTCCAGGGGAAGAAGGTGTGTCTGAGATTTGGGGTCCGGCTGTGATTGACTCTGCTGTTGGAGCTGGGGCTGAAGGAAGCTGGACGGTTGCTGTGTTGTCCTTGATTCCAGTTTCTGGTTGCTCCAGTTCCCCACACCATTGAATCCACCCTCCCCATTGCCCTCAGTGTGAGGTTGGAGTGTGTCGTTTTTTACATAGCCACCGGTGACTGTCATGTCCATCGCTCCCCTTGCAGCAACATCTACATCCCTCGGAGGCTTCTTCTGGCTTATGGCGAAAGGTAGAGCCAGCTGCTGGGAAGAGGGAGGCTGAAACATCCCCTGCTGGTTCGGCTTTACTTGAGAGACTAGCTGCTCTGGAGGAAGAATTTTCCCTGCCTCCAAGTTTATTTTATTGTTCTCAATGATTTTCTGGGAATTCTGGTTGAAATCCTTACTTTTCCCATCAGTAGCAGTCTGGGATTTCTCGCTGTGGCTGTCCATCATCTTTGTCCAGCGCTGCAAGAGGCTTTTGTCGTTGTCGCTCAGCAGGACCCCGCCCAGCGAGTCCCCCTGTTTTTTCTCTTTTCTTTCCTTTTCCTTCAGTTTTCTCTCCCTTTCTCGTGCTCTTTCTTGCCTCTTTCTCCTTTTTTCCTCTCTCTCTCGCTGGCGCTCCTGAGCTGTGACGGGCCTCCTCGACTCAGGAACTGAAGATACTGCAGAGGAAGGGCCTCCTCCTGTTCCGCCATCGATGCCCAGCGCAGAGGAACCTCCATCTGCAAAGAACATTTATTTAGTCAAAAGAGGTTTAAAAGTCTGTATGTTACATTTAGGTATAAGAGTGCCCTCCAAATGTATTAAGTAACCTTAACTGATATCTTAACATACTACTTCCAGTGGGTCTATCAGAAAAAATCAAAACACAGTTTTTGTTTTTAACAAAAAGTTGTATGAATACTTTTATACTTACCGCCCCTGGCTTTATTTCTTAGGGCTGATTTTAACAAAACTGCTTTTAGTGCATTTTTGGTATCTTCAGAAATGGCGCCTTCCTTTCTGGTTCCCTCTGCTGCACGTGGAGGCGGCCTTGCATTCTTAGACAGTGAGTGCGAAAGAGATTGAGACAGAGACTGGGCCTGTGCCACTGACAGAGACAGGGTAGGTTTGGTTGCTGGCAGAGGGGTCATGGTTTGTGCTTGTGGTTGATTAGTAGATGTAGGCTCCATGGGCTGACTAGGCATAGTAGCTATTCCCTCCTGTGCCTCACCATCTCTCATGACTTCTGATGGAGGGTCATGAGTGGACACCGGAGTGGTCAGATCTATCGTCTCTGGCTGACCGCTGTCGGAGTTGGCACTGGGCATGTCCACGTCGACTGGGGCACTTTCACTTTTACTGAGGAGAGGCAAATGATGGGCCACGTGAGGCCGGACGAGGTCAACCTGCTTTGTAAATGCTTGGTTCACATCTGCTGGTAAGTTTTGTTCCTGCTGGGATTTCACTACTCTCATTTGCTGTTGTTGAATCTGTTTCGCTCCAAGGTGATGCGCCATCACGGCCAATGTTTGGTTGGTCAGATCAACAGTTGCTGGCTGGTTACTGCTTTGGGCTGCGGCTCCGCTGTTAGCCCTCGGCAAAGGCTTAAACTGCAGTCGTGGACGAGAGCTCAGTTTCTTTTTGTGAAAGTCTTGAATTTCCATCAAAATAGCCTCTTTAATTTGTTCTTTGTTTAATTGAAGCTTGTCAAACTCAAAGTCAAAAGCTGGCACGCAAGTTGGCTCGTCGTCTGGATCGTGGTACTTGGACAGATATGGGTGCTCCAGTGCCTCTGTCACACTGATGCGTTCACGAGGATCAAACTGCAGCATGGCCTGTAAGAGGTCTAATGCTGAGGCTTCAGCTTGTGGGTACAGTTTGGATAAAGGCACAGGTGTCTGAGATGGGAGACGCTGAACATAGGAGCGAACGTTGTCAGCCCTGATGGCTCCGATCAAACCCTCAGGGGGAGTGCCTAACACGCTTAGAATGAGCCGGAGCTGTTGGACGTAGTTCTTCCCAGGGAAAAGTTGCTTCCGACCCAACATCTCAGCAAAGATGCAGCCCACAGACCACATATCAATGGCCAAACTGTAGTGATTGAGTGACAGTAAAAGTTCAGGAGCGCGGTACCATCGGGTGGCTACGTACTCAGTCATAAAACAATAAGACTCCTCAGGATGGGAACTCAGACCCCTCGCCATTCCAAAGTCCCCAATTTTCAGTTCACAGTTTTCATTCACCAGCAGGTTTGAGGGTTTGAGGTCACGGTGGATGACATTGGCGGAGTGCACATACTTTAGGCCACGGAGAAGCTGGTAGAGAAAGTAGCGTGTGTGTTCAGGGGTTAGCGTCTGGGCAGAGTGAATGATCTGGTGCAGGTCACTCTCCATAAGGTCCAAAACAACATATCTGCAAACACAGAGAAAAAAAGTTTAAGATAAGTTAAGGTTGTGGATTTACACCACAATTTAATATTAGAAAGAAAAATGTATTGTATGTGAGAAAAAATACACTGTCTTAGTAAAGAAAGCTTACATTGTACGGTAATGATAAAAAAAAAAAAATGACTACGTACACAGACTTGAAGGCAGAGTGAGGAAGGTTCGGCTGCAGAATGTCTTTGATGGCGATAATGTTGTCATGCTTAAAGTGTTTTAGGATCTTGAGTTCTCTTAATGTTCGCTTGGCATTTGTCACAACTTCAAAAGCATTGGAGATCTTCTTTATTGCCACCTGCTGGCCTGTATGAGGTAGATATAGAGAACAGAGGGGAGAGTATAAAAAATGCAACCCAACAAATCCTCACTTGTAAACATAGAAGGAAATCAAGCTTAGTACCGTTGTCCCTCCTTCTGGCAGATGAAACCACACCATACGCCCCTGTACCGATGGTTTCTATGACATCGTACTCCTCTCCGACGTCAAACTTTACATCCAGAGAGTGTGCTTTAAGTAGAGCCAAATTTTTAGCCGTTATGCTGGTGTCTGAATTGCTGCCCGTCACATCAGCACCCGTATGGTCCTGCTGGTTCGTTCTGTGTTTGTCCGTGGAAATTTTCTCAGGGGAGGCCACCACTTTGGCACCGCCGCCCTCTTTAGTGGACATCTTGCTGTAAAAACAAAAAGTAGAAGGCCAATTAAGGGACATTGTTTGACACCGTCAGTTTCTTTTTGTCATACTTATTTGTAGCTGTATCATACAAATAAATGGTTAAAAACAATCATACATTGTAATTTCTGGATTTCTTTTTTTTTTTTTTTTTAGATCAAGGTGGACATGCATCGTAGATGCATGTCCCCCCCATGATTTCTAAGTGGGAGAACTTTCAAAATAGCAAGGTGTTTCCTAACTGTATTTTATGAAACATGCAGGTTTTTTACTATACAGGTGCTGGTCATAAAATTAGAATATCATGAAAAAGTAGATTGATTTCAGTAATTCCATTTAAAAAGTGAAACTTGTATATTATATTCATACATTACATACAAACTCATATATTTCAGATGTTTATTTTGTTTAATTTTGATGATTACAAATGACAACAAATGAAAATCTCAAATTCATCATATCAGAAAATTAGAATATTACTGAAGACCAATAAAAACAAAGGATTTATAGAAATGTTGGCCAACTGAAAAGTATGAACATGAAAAGTATGAGCATGTACAGCACTCAGTATTTAGTTGGGCCTCCTTTGGCCTGTATTACTGCAGCAATGCGGCGTGGCATGGAGTCGATCAGTCTGTGGCACTGCTCAGGTGTTATGATAGCCCAGGTTGCTCTAATAGTGGCTTTTAGCTCTTCTGAATTGTTGGGTCTGGTGTATTGCATCTTCTTCTTCACAATACCCCATAGATTTTCTATGGGGTTAAGGTCAGGAGAGTTTGCTGGCCAATTAAGAACAGGGATACCATGGTCCTTCAACCAGGTACTGGTAGCTTTGGCACTGTGTGCAGGTGCCAAGTCCTGTTGGAAAATGAAATCTGCATCTCCAAAAAGTTGGTCAGCTGCAGGAAGCATGAAGTGCTCTAAAACTTCCTGGTATGTGGCTGCGTTGACCCTGGACCTCAGAAAACACAATGGACCAACACCAGCAGATGACATGGCACCCCAAACCATCACTGACTGTGGAAACTTTACACTGGACTTCAAGCAACGTGGATGAAGTGCCTCTCTTCTTTTCCTCCAGACTCTGGGACCTTGATTTCCAAAGGAAATGCAAAATTTACTTTCATCAGAGAACATGACTTTGGACCACTCACCAGCAGTCCAGTCCTGTTTCTCTTTAGCCCAGGCAAGACGCTTCTGACGCTGTCTGTGGTTCAAGAGTGGCTTGACACAAGGAATGCGACAGCAGAAACCCATGTCTTTCATACGTCTGTGTGTGGTGGTTCTTGAAGCACTCACTCCAGCTGCAGTCCACTCTTTGTGAATCTCCCCCACATTTTTGAATGGGTTTTGTTTCACAATCCTCTCCAGGGTGCGGTTATCTCTCTTGCTTGTACACTTTTTTCGACCACATCTTTTCCTTCCCTTCGCCTCTCTATTAATGTGCTTGGACACTGAGCTCTGTGAACAGCCAGCCTCTTTAGCGATGACCTTTTGTGTCTTGCCCTCCTTGTGCAAGGTGTCGATGGTCGTCTTTTGGACAACTGTCAAGTCAGCAGTCTTCCCCATGATTGTGTAGCCTATAGAACTAGACTGAAAGACCATTTAAAGGCTTTTGCAGGTGGTTTGAGTTAATTAGCTGATTAGAGTGTGGCACCAGGGGCCATCAATTTTGAACCTTTTCACAATATTCAAATTTTCTGATATGATGAATTTGAGATTTTCATTTGTTGTCATTTGTAATCATCAAAATTAAACAAAATAAACATCTGAAATATATGAGTTTGTATGTAATGTATGAATATAATATACAAGTTTCACTTTTTAAATGGAATTACTGAAATCAATCTACTTTTTCATGATATTCTAATTTTATGACCAGCACCTGTATATGATGATTACTATATATATATTTTATTTATAAGTGCTGAATTTAGACTAAACAAGATTCACAAAGTAAATCATTAATAACTGTCCAAATCAGTTATTAATGACGTTTGACACCTCTGGCAAAGTATAAAAGAAAAACCTTTTTTATTTTCATAGCCATACCATCATTTCATACTGAACTTTCAAGGGGGGAAATCCTTTCATTTTCTATTTTTTTTCATAAGCATGGAAAATTTAATAAATTATTGTTTTTACAAAATTTAGAGTCTCAGGATTATTAGCCACCCTACTGTCATATTTTGACCCTTTAAAAGGTTGGAGCATACAGACAGAGGGTCCTGAAAATCTCTATTTACTATCCAAAATCTGAGGACTAGTATGACTATTATGGCTATTTAAGAAAGCTGATTATGGGGTTGGATGGGGACCTCTATGTTGGTTCTTCTGTCATATGTTTTGGTTTATTGACTTGTATGAAGACCCAGGAACAATTATTCTGTTTTTTTCCCCCCCAAATAGCTTCCAAATTTTATTAAAATATTCTTGCATATTCACTTAACGTCTGTCTGTCTGTCATGCTATTGATTATAAGGCCTTAAAAAGGAAACCGCACATCAGCATTCCCTCCAATGTACTTAACCATCTGGATCCAGACAAAAAGCTTAAGCCTTCTAACCAAAGCTCCGAAGGTCCCAGTAGAGTTTATTAGAATTGTGTTTACATCTGTAATGCTTAGAAACAGAAAAGCCACTTTTTAGCATCACTAAATTTTTTTTAAAAAAAACCCTGTATGGATTTGTTTTTGTTTTTGTTTTTTGCTGTTAAAAGAAACTGTCAAATGTAAGATTTCATATTTGTACCTAAGAGTCAAGAATTGATCATAAGAAGTCCCTATGCGCTCTACAACACTTTGCAACACAACTTAAGGGGTAGCTGTTAGCAAGATATTTTTTTAAACTGTATTTCTTTTCAATTCTCAACATTTTATTACTATTTACATGTACGCCACTGTAATAAAGGATGAATTTCATTCATGCCTTTCCACCAGAGGTACCAAAATATGAGGGAAATCCAGAATATGTCATTTTATTTATATATTTTTATTATTAATTATATTTTAATATGACAGGAAATTATGTTTTGAAAAAAGTTTTTTTTTATTTTTTATTAATGGAGCATTTAAGAATGAAGCATAACATAAGATTTACATTGTTAATTAATTTACATGTAAAAAGCCAGTAATTACTTAATTAATATGCAATATGAGTATTTTCCTAAATAGAGCTTTATTGCTCCCCAACACCGTGGTTTCCTACTTTCTCTTCTGAAAGACTCCTATCCTTTTTTTCATAAAACAGGCTAAATTATAAACATTACTTTATTAAGTAGGAAAGAATAAGCCACACGTTGTCTGAAAATGAACACGGCAAGGCCTGGTTCATCTAAAAGGGTAAACAAAACCTGTGGCTCTCAGGTAAATGTCTAATAAATACCCAGTTTTAAAGCTTAAGAGAAAGACATGCTGGTTCAATAGGTAAAAGGTTACATTATGTCCTTCCTACATGACAAACAAATAGCAACCTTACCCTCACACGCAGGGGCGTAGGCTAGTTGACGTTACCTGAAGCTCTGGCTTCCAACGTACCATTAAATCTGCTATTTCTCGCTTATGTTACTGAACAATACAGTAAATAAAAGCGATAAAGCTTCACATGCTTTCGTTGTTCCTGGGAACAACAACGTCCAATTATCTGCTATTTAATCACGGACCAGCACAATAATTCACTTGTATTGTCCGCCGCTTCCTTATTCACTTCTGGGTTGCGTTTGAGTGACATGTGGCTGGCCAATAGCTGAGAGAAGAGGGAACCAATCATCCAATCAACGCACACTACGCAATTAGAGGCGGGGTCTTACATCAAATAGAAAGCTCTTTGTGAGTTTGTTTATTTAGCCATGGGAAATGACGTCGATCTTAAACATATTGCAGAAACTCGAGAAAAATAATTGACAGACAGACAAATACTGTGTAAAATCAATGCAAATTCCAAGAGATATAACAGGCATAAAGGGTATCCGCCATGGTGTTTTCAAATATATAGTCTATTCCAATTGTGATATGCTAAATGTACTTTGACACTTAGATTTATTTTGTCATTTTGTATACACGAATGTAAACAAAAAGAAATTTCATTTAAAACAGCTCTAGACAATTTAATTTTTTAAAGTGCAGCATTGAAAAACATGAATAAATACATAAAACAATAGTAATATAAATATATGACTGTATATTTACACTTCTAACATTATTTTTTTTTTTACTTCTAGTGGCTCCCTTAATATTGATTAATAATTTTACTAGTAAAATGACCATTTAATTATTAATTTAACTTTTTTAAATCAATTAATCATGTCACTTTTCAAAAAAAAGGAAGATTTTAGAATTTAAGAATTTAAAATAGTAAAAAAAAAAATTTCCTGATAAGGGTAATTATGATTCATATGTGTTTAGATAAAAGCAAAACATGTTTAGAATTTATCAATCTACTTATATGGCAAAAATGTACAAATATAATTTACATAATAACAAAAATATACAATAAAGCAAAAAAAAAAAAAAACAGTTGTTGCCTATAGATTTTGCAACGATCATCGCCTATCTTGCTGAGCCAACATCTGGATCTGTTTGTCCAATGGCATGGTGGTACAAAAGTAAACCCAACCAATCAGAAGTTGGAACGTGATTTTCAACACGTCGACCGTAGTAAAAGCAAGCTGAAGCTGTTGTAAACTAGTTTGCTGTAGATTATAACGGTTCCTGTAAAAGAGTGTCCACATGGCTGCAGCTAAAGGGTTGCCAAGTTGGGAGCGCAAAGCGCGCATTAGTTTGGTTCTTCTGGGTTTGGTTTTGTCCGTCTATGCTCTTCATGTGGAGCTGTCCCGAGAAAGAGACCCAGATTACAGGGCAATGTGCGACCTGGGGGAGTCTGTGAGCTGTTCCAAGGTTTTTACTTCCAGGTAGGACTTCTGTTACTACCTTTTTTTTTATCAGAATTCACAAACCTTGAGCAATTTAAACCACGTACTTGTGTGGATCAATTCCCTTTTCTTATTTTTCCTACCGAATTTTTTTTTCTATTTTCTTTTTATGTCTCTGGCGATTGTTGTTTAATTATTGTCCTGCTAATGCAAACTGTAAAATAAATTGCCCCAAGGTGTAAATAAAGATTCCCTGAACCTATTTCAAACCTTTCACCCCTCTTCCCTGCCACGTGTCAAAGTTTAGACATTCCTTTGGACATTCTTTTATTATCTCTCCTTTGTTTCTCTGATAACTTCTTGAAGCATGACTTCTAACTTCTTTTCTCTGAACTTTTTCCCTTTTTTTCACATCATAACCCACATTTTTTTATATAATAATTCCATGTTTAAAAAAAAACCTACAGAAACAGAAATGTATCTGGGAAGTGGAAGGAAGATTATGCATATTATTTTACTTTATGTAAAAATTGCAAATATTAAAACTGTGGCTCACATTTGCATTTGCAGGGATAACTTTCTCTACCCTAAAAAGCTGAATGATGATGTTAATTGTAACCACAGTAACCGCTTTCATATGATAGGATTCCCTTTAAAGCTTGTCACTTTAGGTTTACAGCCATACCTACCTTGTTTGCAGTTATCCCATGATTTCTATCTGCCTATGATGGACTGGGCTCCATGGGATATTCGGACCTTTGGATATAGACCTAAAAGTTCTTTAAACCTCTCCCTGCTGTGTTTACTTAAAATTATTTCCAGATAAATGTGATGAAATTATTATTAGTGGCATAAAAACTGCAAAAAAGCAACATCAATACTTCCACAAGACACTATAAAACACTAATTTCCAAAAAGATCCTAACTAAATTAACATCTCTGTTGGACAATATTTCCTATTCCATCCATGAAGCTGGGCAGAACTGGAGAGCTCCTTCAGTGACAGACTGCTGCATCCTAAATGCACCAGGAAGCGTTATCACAGATCCTTCCCCCCAGCAGCTGTAAGACTCTATAACCACAACTGTTCCCAACAACCTCAATAAGTTGTTACATTCATGCTGATTTTGCACAGTTTCTATCTTAGTCCGTTAAATAACATGCTGCTGTCATTTTGCACATCTCTGATGTTGCTAATATTTTCAAATATCCATTTCTGTAAAAATGTCCATAGCTGTATATTGGTTATTTATTCTCCAGGTGCACAATTTTATATTGTCAAAACACTTAACAGTACAGTTTTTGTTGTTTACTGTATATATTAACTCTTCACTGTTATGTTTTTCTTATACATTTTTCTAAGGTCCACATTTGTGTTACCATTTTTTTCTATAATCTTTTTGCTGCTGGAAACACCAGAATTTCCCCATTGTGGGACAATAAAGGGATTTTCTATTCTATTCTGCTGTATCCTCATCTGTTCTATACTAATTTCATCATATTTTTAATAATTAATTGCCTTCAAATTTCTGTTCTCTTTTCTGGCAGATGGGGACGTGGTTTTGGTTTGGTCCAGCTGTTTTTGGCCAAAGATAGCATTCTGAACCAGCCCAACAGTGTGCTCGGCATCCTATTTTACACTCTGCAGATGGGCCTTGGTTAGTCTTCCATTGTGCTTCGAAAATTATACAGCAGCAGTTAATTATAGTTTGGTCTGTATCTGAGATTATAGGGTTGATTTTTTTTTTTATGAACTGAAGAAGTAAAAATTCATTCATCTACTTTGCAGGAATGTCTCTATCTAAGAAGGCAGCCCTGGCCTTGGTCCTCTCTTCCTGGGTATCCGTGGCTGGTTCAATTTATTTGGCATCTATACTTGCCTTTGTTCTGGGAGACTTCTGCATGGTGTGCGTCTCAACATATATCATCAATTTCGCGCTACTCTACACCAACATGAAGAGAAAGACAGCAATTGATGGGATGAAAGAAAAGACTGGATAGGAAATCCAACTTGTGGAGTTCAACATTTGTTTTTGTTTTTCGGCTAAAATGGGCTACACTGGTCCACTGTTTTTTTTTTTTTTTTTTTTTTTTTTTTTTAACCATTTTCAAAGAAATTATTGGAGTTCTAACAAATCTGATATTTTGATAATGAACTGGAAAAGCAATACTTGTTTATACACCATTACCTATTTTGTGACACACTTTTAAATATTTTAAATACATTTTATGGTCTTGTCTGATTTACTACAAACCATAACTTTAACCATCACTGCTGTAATTACTTAGTTTAACCAACAGATGGAGACAGAGACTAATTTATGGTTCAATGACGTTGAAACAGGGTTTACGTATAATGTTTATTTTGTGCCTTATCAGTTGTCATTTATATTAATACTGGGACCAGAAATAGATTTTCTAAATGGACATAGTTTTACCCAAAGTGGTAATTATACTAAACATTAAACACAACTTACTGAATTAAAACTGGAAATAGGCAAAATGCAAACATGTTTTCTTTTTAGTTGGTAGAGTAATATACACTGTAGTCCCCTTTACATATATGTTGGATTGTTATAATTTTTGTTATCAGCAGCAATTTATGAATTAGCTTTTAACAAAAACCTTACTACTCTTGTCATAAAAAAAAAATATATAAAAAATAACATTTGGGGATATTTAGTTATCTTTTTCTCTGTAATCCTGAAAAGCAAGTGCTCATGCAAATGTTGGATATACATGTTTAATTTTCAGTATTGATAAAAAAAAAAACACATAAAGACTGACATGATATTACAGCTAAACACATTTCTAATCTTACATCAGAACATAGTTAAGTCCCTGTCTTATCGTGATTTCCAATCTGAACAAACTTAGCTACAGATTCAAAGTAAAATAGTTGCAGATCCAAATTAAAATGTTGCTTTAAAAAGGCTCTTAAGATTCCTTGGATTAACATCAGTATTTTTGTAATTTTAGACATTTTAAACTATCATCAGCAATCACAAGTTAAGTCAGTATATCTGCAGATAATCAGTACATACAGAACCTGTAAACACCATGCAAAAATACCCGAAATGTCTATTCAAATGCAAGGCCAACTTGCTGCAAGCTAATAGTGCCAACAGCTAAACCACCACAGAGGCTTTTCATGACAGTAAAACCTAAAACAACCCTTTTTTTTATCAACAACAAGAGAAAACCTTGTAGAATTAGGTTTGCAAGGTGCCAAATTAACTAAATAACTCCTGAAACACTTTAATACAAACAGATGGGACCAAAGTATACATTTCTGGCAATGATATATGTTATGCATAGTTTAAAAAATGAGTATGATATGAGCACAAACGCCTTATGCCAGCACTCAAGCACATTTAGGAAGTGATTGTTTTGACTTGTTATGAAGCCAGGACTCCTGAAACTCCTCTGTATACTAAAATATTTTTAAGTAATACATGAGTCTGCGTTTGTCATCTGAAGCTTGTCATCGTGGAAAATTTTAGTGATACCAGGAAGAGGAGCAAAACTGCAGCATAATTTAAAATCATCAAAAGGCAACATAGTTAACCCTTCCACAATGATTAATGCCAGTAACTTTATTGCTCATACATTGTTATTATCTTTCTAATGGGTCATGTTGTGAGGCCTTGTCATACCTTTTTGACATCTTAATGTTAGACAGCTTGGATATAAACCAAAAACATGATTTATTACAGCTAATTTAAGATTTGAAAGAGTTAATCATAATTAATATAGGGTTTTCTCTTAACAAATGCAATCATTTAGAATCACTTTATGTTTCTAATAGGTTATCTTGGTCTGACATTAAAGTTAGTAAATGAGCAAAATCCTCCTTATAGATAGGCTCTCTGATAATAGCTGGTTTTGATAGCTGGTATTTATTTATTAAATAATAGTTTACTAAATAGAAAATGCAGAAGTAAAACCTTAAAAGGTATGTGGTAAATCTAAAATATTTGCGTACAAGAAAAGATGAATAATTCCCACATACTTCATGACATATTTGGAGTTTAAAGTCCTCTACTTCTTTTCTGCAATTCTCTTCCTCCAAGTCACTTCCATCATGAGACAATAGGTTTAGGTAGTTTCTTTATGAAAAACTATGACTTATATTGATCGCATGTTTAAATTTAGAATGTGTAATGATAAAGAAAGATACGAGAAACTTCTGCCTCATCTGCTTCTCCTCTTAAGGTAAAGAAGCTCTTTTAGTTTCCAGGACTGGAACGGCCCAGTTCTCTGAAAGGTGACGTGTTCAATAAAATTGGGCAACAGGTGGTCAGGCTAAGCTTTCAGACAGTTTTTTCTATCATGTCACACAGTTGTGACCATTTATAGGAGCTGTTTGCATGTTTTTTTTTATTTTTTTATAATAGAGTCTTAAAGGAGACTTTTATAGGAATTTTATCAAAAAATCTTTGCATTGCTCAGCCATTACTGCATTTCTCTAGATGAATGTAAGTTATATAACATGTATTGTTAATCATATTTTTTATTTAATATTGACATATACTGTATGTTTTTTCCACTTTAGTTAGGAGGCTTTTTGTTATTTTATTTCAAGGGACAATAGAGAACAACATAACTGGACATTATTTTACTCAGCCAAATAAAATAGCTTCCATTAATAAATAATTGAACTTTATTGATCTCACATTGGAGAAATTTACCTCTGCATTTAACCAATCCCCTTGGGGAGTAGTGGGCTGCCATTGTGCGGCACCCAGGGAGCAGTGTGGAGATAAGGTGTTGCTCAGAGAGCCAGAGTGGCAGTGGGGCTCGAACTCAGAACCTAAGGATTCCAAGCTCTATGTCCTAACCACTAGACCGCCATTCCTCCTCCGTTTGGGGTGTGGCAAAATTAGACTTTTCATTTCTGCCATTTTGTTGTGATCATCACCCTTCACAAAGCATTTTGAAATCTTGTGATCCGACCTGGAAAGCCAATGGTCAAAAATATACAGGAAACAATGAGAAGATTTAAGGTTTCACTCAAATGATACAATTACAGCAGATTTTTCACATGCAGCTTACTGTACACTAAACTTTCTATTGACTGGACATTCAAATAAGCTTCCTAAAACCTTCTGAAAGACAGTTTTTCATTATTTTGATGGTCTTTCTGCTGCCGCTGGGCAGAAGCCATATAAGAAAGCTGCACTGTATGTCACATTATAAATATAGTCTGTATAAGCTGTGGTGTCAAAAGCACACTTAAGTAGAAGTATAGATACTGCAGTTTAAAAACATTCTGGCAAAAGTTGAAGTATCAACTTGACCTCTTTACTCAAGTAAAAGTGAAAAGGTATGTGCTCCAAAAACTACTCAAAGTATAAAAGTATGAAGTAACCTTTAAAAAACAGCCAGATGCCACTGTATGAAAGCTCAGTTTTTTGACTCTCATCCAATTACATTAGTTTTCACTAGATGTGGATGATGCCAATGATCTGCATTGGATGGAGCACATGATGGGAAATAAATATTTATAAACATTAAACCGAAGCCAAGAGTAACGAGTAACGTTTGGTTTAAAAATGTAAGGGATAAAAAGTACAGGTACTTGTGTAAAAATGTAATGAGTAGAAGTCAGAAGTAGGAAGAAAAATAAGTAATGGAGTAAAGTATAGGTACCTAAAAAGTGTACTTAAGTACAGTAATGAACTATTTGTACTTCGTTACATGACACCTCTGTCTATAAGTAATTTCTCAATAATTAAACACTCAACGTGTTTGTCTTGACTACATCATTCTGTGGTTTTATCAGAAACTATTCTCTGCATATATATCCCTATTTTGCAGCAAAGCAGGTTACTATGAGACATTTACCCGGTTGGTCACACAAAACGGATTATCTTCAGTTTATCTACCAATTTTAATTGTTTGTCTAAATGAATCTATAAAAGAACAGAGATATTTTCTTAAGCCCGTTTGTAACTAATTTGGTTTTCAAATGAAAGGAAATTTGAATTTGTAATCCATTTGAATTTACTCTTTAGCTTTTTAGCTGATATCTTAAGATGTTGCTTCAAAATTTCCATATAATTTTCTTTCTTCATCAAACCATTTGTGAGGTGCCTCAGTCCCTCCAGCCTCCTTTTAATCCTCCTAATGATTATTTTTGTGAACGTACTACAATATTAGCTTCATCTGACCATAGGAGATATTTCCTAAAGTAAATTATTTATCTTTGTCCCTCAATAGATTTGAAAACTGTCATTTGTCTTTAATGTTGCTTTTGAAATAATGTTTTTGAGTGGCTTTTTAGCCGATATTTGGTATCAATCTGATTGGTCTGTGTATGGTGACCAATTTAAACCAGAATCTTTAGAGGATCTTAATTGCTTTTATCCTGGGGTCAATTAGCTAAAGCAAATAAAACACTTGCATAACTAGAACACAGATTCCTCCTTCATATTCTTCAATGGCATGTTGACTGGACTTCCCTATTATTGTTCCTATAAATTCATTAAATCATGATCTGGATTTCCCCAAATCATCTAAAGCATCTCATTGCATCTAACTCTTGTACCTTAAAGGAAGTATTAAAACGTCGTCCCTCAAATCTAGCAAAAACTAATCATTTATTAAAATTCAATCACTAAAAATAAACCGGCGAAATTTATTTTACTAAGTGCTTTATTGTAATTGCTGTTTGTGCTTTCTTCTTTGTTCAAATAAAGCAACATTCAAACATAAACATCAGAAAATATTGGCTGAAAACTTATTTTCCTCCTGAGGATCTCCCTTTCAGCATAGATTAATTCAGGCTGAAGGACAGGGAGACCATGTGGAGTGGCCAACGTTTGTTTTTGAAGTTAGTAATACACAATTATTCTTAGTCATCTTTCTGTGGAATCATGGTAGTTATTTTTAGGAAACACCTCAGAAGCCCATCTTTGGGTTTTTTAGGTGAAGCACACAGGAAGAGCTGACTGATGGGTCACTATTTAAATAGCTTCACAGAGCGAGATCTTGCAGTCACATACAAAATGGCTTTGGACAAACCGTTGTATATTCTGGCCCTTGTGTTGCTTTTCCTTGCAGGTAAGTCATTCATTATCTGACAGGAATGAAAAATATAAACTTTAAGAAGAAAGTGAAAAAACTGAAATTTGCAATTATCCACATGTTTTTCTGAGGAGGACCTGGAGGGTCGGTAATGTCGAATCAACTAAAAAGCATTTTCTATTTGCACCTTTTAAATTGACTTATTGAAGAAAAATTGTAAATTGTATTTATTAATCTATTATTAAATACTGGAATTTGAAAATGTATTTTAAATCCAAATTCTAAATGGAAATTTATAAAACAAAGTCGTAAATCTGATTAAAAATACATTTCCTAATCACATTTCTAAAAAGGTTATTCATTATTCCACCATGTTATTTTTTAACACTGCATTTTCAAATCCTTCTTAAAATTGCGTTTTCTTTTTGCTATACCAGTCCATTCACCTTTTCAGTGACCCTTCTGGTCCCAGAGAACATTGGAAAGCAGTTCTACTCTATCATTGGTTAGATTGCCACACTGACCAATGATGGAGCTTATTACATCTGAGGAGCAGCTGATTGGTTAAACTGGTTTCCTGTGCTCTGGGACCAGAAGGTTAAGGGTAGTGGTAAAGCAAAATTCTATTTAAAAAAGGATTTCAACATTCAAGTTGAAAAAGACAATGAAATATGGAATAACATTTTTAAACATGTATTTCTAAAAGGTATTTGTAATCAAATTTATAAATTTATTTTTTAAATCTCCATTTAGAATTAGGATTTGAGAATACATTATTCAAATTCCGTTATTCAATAATGGATTAAATAATTTATATAATTTACAATTCCTTTTTTAATAATTAAATTAAAATGTGCCATTAGAAAAAGCTTTTTAAACTGGATTTCAAATTGCATGATTTAAATGTTAAGAGTGAAATGGTTGGTTGTCTTTTTCAGTGGCTCTCTATGTCCTCCATAGTTTCCAGGATATTAAAATAGTTTAAAAAGTGAACTGTAGCATATCGAAGCATAGAATGTTTAAAAGGCTTTGCTTACGTAATAAAATATTATATTAAGAAAAATAATCTAGCGTTTATTGTTAAGAAGTTAAATCAGAAGTTAATTCATTTTAAATCTTGTTCTAGACTAATGTTATTTAATCAGTTTTAAACTGAGGTGTATATTTAAAAAAAAAAGTGAGATCTGCAGCTATTAGAAAAAATAAATAAACTAATCTGAACAGCCTGTTTTGTGTCTTTCCAGAGGCTGGTGCTCAGCCCCATGGTTGGTAAAGACCTAAATCAATCCAATAATTTATTAAATAAAATTTGTCGAATGTTTGCATCCTGATCTTGTTTCAACTGATTTCCCCTTCAGTGTGCGGCATCGCCCGTCAAAACCACAAAATTGTTGGAGGTGAAGATGCTTCACCCAAAAGTTGGCCTTGGCAGGTTGATCTGCAGCGCTCAGGCACACACTGGTGTGGGGGGTCCCTCATCAGCAAAAAGTGGGTACTGACTGCCGCTCACTGCGTCACTGGGTAAGTGCCTGAAAATACAACAGTGTTTATTATTATGAAGGTGTTGAAATTATTTTTCTTAGAGCAACTTAGATTAATGGACTATTTCACATGAGATTATGCATAGATGTATAGATTTGATTAAATTTGAAAATTTTCTCAATGGGGTAAATTGGGAGGAGATATTCAAAGATGTATTCAGTACAAATACGGTTGAAAGCTTAATTTTCAGTAATAAAATAAATGCTTTTTGCCTTTTTCTACTACAGAACAGAACCATTCATATGGGAGGTTTTTCTTGGGCGGCAGAAGCTGACGGATGGAAACACAAAAACTGAAGTTTCCAGAAAGATCAGAAAAATCGTTGTACACCCCAGATTTAATTCTTTAACCTTAGATAATGACATTGCGCTGCTCAGACTCTCCTCATCAGTGAAGTTTACAGACTACATCAGACCAGTGTGCTTGGCAGAGAGAGGCAGCACGTTCAGCAATGGCACCAACAGCTGGGTCACCGGCTGGGGAAATGTAGCAGAGGGAGGTGAGTTAACAGGCTCCTTGTCCTAAAAACTGTATTTTTTTTTAACTATAACTGAATATGATTCCTATGTTAATTATATGTTTTCTTGCATAGATTTCTGTATTGTTTGCATGTGTGACTAATTTCTGGTATTTTTTCATCCTTCCTAGTGCCTCTACCTTATCCTAAAACCCTTCAGGAGGTGAAAGTACCAGTTATAGGAAACAGACAATGCAACTGTTTGCTTGGAAAAGGACGTGTAACAGACAACATGATCTGTGCTGGAGTTCTTCCAGGAGGCAGTGATTCTTGTCAGGTGAGCTGCTTGTTTTATCCACTTCCTTGATGATAGTCGACTAAAAATGAGTTAACTGTTTTTCTTTTTGTTATTTCAGGATGACTCAGGAGGTCCGATGGTGAGTAAGCAACGCTCTCGCTGGATCCAGTCCGGAGTTGTTAGCTTTGGGGATGGCTGCGCTCGACCAAGTCTGCCTGGAGTTTACACCAGAGTGTCCCGTTACCAGTCCTGGATAAACTCCAATATCAGATTTAATAAACCGGGTTTTATGCCGTTTGCCTCCAGCGGAGTGGATCCTGACAAAACCTTCAACTGTTGGTGACTGGCGACTTTACCAAAGTAACAAGACCTTCAACCTTCAGGCGCAGCAAACACTTTTCTAACTTTTTAAAAGAAAAATTTAAAAAATACATGTTTTTACAAATTTAATTTACGTGATTCTACTAAAATGAAGGGAAACATTTATTTATTTATTCTTTAATGTCTTTAAGATATCTAAATCTAAATGCAGTATTGTTTTTTTGTCAACAAAGAGAGTGATATGCTTGATATCTATTTTTAAAACATATATATTATAATTTAATTGTATCAATGTATTTTACATCCTGTGTTGAGATAAACAGAAAATAAATGTTCTAAGTTATGACCAAACCTAATTTGTTGTGCCTCATTCTGTGTGTTTTTCTCACTGGGATCCTGTCATTTGTGGAAGAGATATCAAAAAATATTTTTAAGATAATTTCTATGAAGTCATTTTAAATAGAATAACCTCTATAAACTGCAACCAGACTCTACAATGCAACATTACAACGGCAATAACTTGTGCAATGTATAATGTGCAATTTACCATTTGATACCCTGTGCAACAACCTGTTTCTCTATATTTTACACCCAGTGCAATAACCATATATACCCTGTGCAATAACCCTGTATAATGATCCTACTGTAAAAAAAAAAGCTGTCATATGTGGATGCACTGTATATACTGTGTATATCCCATTCACTTTTTTTTTCCATTGCCACATTCTTCATCTTCTTTTTGACTATTTGAGCTGATGTAATGATTACATTCCTCCACTGTGAGATCGATAAAGTCAATCAATCAAACTCTGAACAGTGAATCGAGCCCATATCAGTTCTGAGACTGGTGCAGACCATTGTCAGATTCTCATGTAAAAAGCCACTGTTGTTTCACAGTAATATGATCTCTACACAGATTTTACATAATGGATACAAAGGCAAGACACCTTTTATATGCAACAGTAAAGCGACAGCTTTTTTTACAGTGGCTAAAAATTATTTGATGATTACAGTTGAAATATTAACGGTTTCCAATCCAGGTCTCAGGGCCCACTGTGCTGGATGTTTTATGTCTTTACCCTCTTCCACACACCTGATTTACAGTATATTAATGATAACTAATAAGCATCTGCAGAACTTGTTGACATGCTGAGGTGATATTTAAATCATTTGAATCACGAGTAAAGCAGAAACTCATCTAAAGAATGAAGCTTTGGGACCCAGAGGAGGTCCAGGATTAAGGAAAATATCTTTCCATATAGAATGCCTTGTGAAAGTGTTCCTACCCCCTAAATGTGTTTCTATTTAGTCATTCTACAACTGCAAACTGGATGATTTTATTGGGGCTTTAACTGTCTGACCAACACAAAGTAGTCCTTGTAACACAAGTATATGCTTTGATTAATATTTTTCCATTACAGCTCTTTCTATATTAGTTACAGGTCATCCTCCTGCTTAATAGCAGATCTCCACCCCAGTCTAAAATCGTTTAAACCAGGGGTCTTCAACATTTTACAGGCAAAGGACCCCCAAACTGATGGCAAAACCCTTAATTATATATTTAGTGAAATTGTGCTATATTAAACTGGTCCTATAGTCGCTCTATTACCAATGGAGTAATGTAACAAAAGTAATTTCACCCTGAGATTATTAAAGTATTTCTGATTCTGATTCCTGGTTGATGGAACAGGTGTTGTGAATGAAACGGTGCCCAGCTTGAAAGAGCTCCTGTGTGTCGCTGAATGGGTGCATTGATGACTGAAAGACATCTTCTGCCTCCATTTATCTGTTTACTACAGTGTGTTGAATTCATGTTAATGTGTCTTTAAAGACAATTCAATTAGTGGAAAAAATTGCACGAGAAATATAAAAAAAAGTCTAATCAACCAAAACTTTCGCAACCCCTATGCGGTACCTCTGCAGACCCCTTGTTGAAGACCTCCTGTTTAAACTATCTAATTGTGTTTCTTATTTTAACATTGTTTTGGATTTAGCTCCAGTAATTTTCCTGTTAGCTCTGAGCAGCTTCCATGTCCCCCCGCAGGAATCCCTACAACATGATGCTTCCACTGTAGATGCTTCACATGGTAGAGACTGAACAGTCATGCAGATTTTTTGCAGCTCCTTTTTTTTATACCAAACATGGTATGCTATGTGTAAAGCAAAAAGTAAATTTTGCAACTCCTCTGATGACATCACCTCCTTCCCTTTTTTTTTGCTGTGTTTACTTTATATCGCTTGTAATAAAACCAAAACAGCTCCTTTTTTTTATTTCTCTAATCAATGATATTATTCTAGCTGTTTTTGGATAAAAAAAATACAATTAAAGAACAGGCTGTACAGTGGAGCAGCTGGTGGTACAGTTCCTTTGTAGCACAAAGTTCCTAGATTTGTATTCCAGTTTTTTATTTTTATTTTTTTAAGGACTTTGCATGATCTCCTTGTGCGATCAACTTTGCCTCACTCTGTTAGCCCATAAACATGTTGGATAAATCATGAACTTTAATCTAACTTTAACTATGATTGTTTGAGTGAATTGCTGTTTGACTTTGATTGACTGTTGAATGCACAAGGTGCTCTCTGCAGAAGAAAGGCACCAAGCCCTTCTAAGCTTGCAAGTATAGGCAGCTTTAGACAGAGTACCCAGAAAAAGGAAAGGGAAAACTAATTGCTCCATGAACAGAGGTATTTTTATTTCTTTAGAATGATACAAAAACTAACAGACTAGATGATGTATAGACAGACATAAAGACAAGAAACCAAATCTGTGAAATATGTGCCAAAATCACTGAATGCTTTAACTTAAATTTATCTCAATGTGTATTGCACAGGTTGTAAAATTGAAAAAAAAAAAACAACAACAACAAAAAACGAAATAAAGGGAAGATTTACTGCAAATCTTACTATTGACAATAGTTAAATCCTTAGCTCCCACCTTTTTATGGCTTTTCCACAAGGGATTTGCATACCCAAATGCCATTGGCCAGTAAAATTATATTATAAATCCCACATGCTTGCGATGTGTCTCATTGAAATCATAAGTTCTTAAAATCTAGAAGTTTTACGCAACTTGAGCTTTGTAACTTTAATCCTGTTCATAATAATATTTTTTTCTCACAAAAAAATCTATATTTTGCATATAATTTATAGTTTACCTCTCCAACTCATGCACTTGTTCATCTTGTGAACAACTGTGTAGAATTTCAGATTTGTAGTCATAAGCATTGTGAAACTGTGATACTTTTTGGATGCAAAAGGTCCATTCGGAACAATTGGATCTTTGCACAACTCCACTACTTCCTCATCTCAAGGCAGCTCTTTTGTTTAATGTCTTTCATTACTGGATTCATTGATTAATCTAGGTGTATCTGCTTTACCACATGCAGAAGCCAACTTCTTTAAGTTTTCAGCTAACCTGTGTTAACAGCATTAACTTTAACAGCTTATGGTTATTTTGGATTAATTTATGTTGTATATTTTAACATGCAATAAACTACATTGGAATTAGTTTCTGTATCATGAAAGGATTTGAAGATTTGGAAATGGTTCAATTTTTGATTTACTACAGAACATTTTAACTTATGAGAAATCAAGAAGTACCATAATAAATTAAGAGCCAGGATGTGTGGCTTAATTACTAACTGCATTCACCTGTCAAACTCAGCCCGGTTTCTAATCACTGCTCATCTGATCCACTTGCTCCTGCCTCTTTTTAGGGTGCTTGCATCCAGTTATCGGGGCAGATTATTCTCGCTGTCTCGTGGCATTGTGAGAGGATATTTAGCGTTCCTTAGCCTTTCTGATTTCCTGATCCTGACCTGTTCTGCCTCTCGACTGCTGAACCTGTCTGTTCTCGTCTGAAAGGTTTGCCTGAACTGTCTTTGGACTATTAGACCTCTGAACCAGCCTTTTGCTGTTCTTATCAGTTTGCCTGACCTGGCTTTGGACTCCTGCTTGTTCTCCGTTCTCCAGGGCTTCAGCATCTGGGACTCTCTAGGCAGCACTCACGCATTCATATCAGATTTACATAGTCACTAACCTGTGTTTCATTTTACAATGTTTCCTGTGATAGACTCCTTAGCCGCTGCTACTCTGATCAAACAATAATTTTTTTAAATAAACCCTTTTGAATTATCCCACTGTCTGTCCTGCCTCGATTACTGGGTGCTCTGTTCTGAAACGTGACAGGATGAACGAGCCTGTTATTCTGAGACTGAATAAACTAAACAATAATAATAATAATTAAGGCGGTATTTGTTGTTGCTGTTTTTTGTAATTACGTAGATATAAAATCTGTTTTTTGTCTCATCCAGGAAAGCCAAACTTGGATTTGTTTCTGGTAAGAAAATTTGTTTTAGCTATTTTGAGACCTTTTAAGGATTTTTTAAGACCTGAAAAATCCCTGTGTAGCTAAAAATATTGTGACAAGTCATGATTTCAATGACCCCATAGCAACTCCAGGAAGTGAGAATAGATGTTATGCATCACATCATCCTGGTTAGTCATTAACTCATGCTGCTTTTGATATGACACCGATAACTAGGATTCTTAGAACCAAAGAATAAAGATGGAAGTTTCCCGTTAGGGTTTACAGGAAGGGTGGATGTGTTTAACGGAGAACCGATCATGCGATTAAACCATTCAGAATGTATCATTTACGGATACTGAGCTATTTTTTTTTTTTTTTAGCCTTATTTAATACCAAACAAACAACGTTATTTCAACACATGCTGTATGACGACTGAATTTGAATTGATGGCATAACAGATTGACATAATGTTCATATTGAGTAATATGGCACAGAAGTGGCTATTTGTGGGGTTTGGCCTACATTTTGAAACATCTGTGCTGCCTTGACATGTTTGGGCTGGAGGTTTTTGCCAGTTAGAGTAGCTTGACCAAATAAGGATGGTCAAAATGATTTTGGTTAGGACATTCCCTACATTCCCTAACCCTAACTGCTCTGTCACATTTATCACTGCTAAGATCACTAAGTGCAGTGTAGCCACTTTGATCTACCTCATGATCCAAAGTATTGTTTATTACTCAAGTTGAAGTATTATTCCTACGGTTTAATAACACTATTGTTAAAAAGTATTAACTTAAAATTTTTACTCAAGAAACAGTGTAATTTTTATAACTACATAAATTAGTAAAAGTAAAAGTAATGCACCAAAAAAAAAGTTACGGACAGATGCTTTAAACCTTATACTGCTTACTGCACAACTGTATTAAAGGAACCCTTCTCTACAATTCTGGAGGAAAACTTTTTTATAACTAATGGTGAGACTGTCAAATGTAACTTTGCATCATCATGAATAGCTATTGAACAGAGGGCCTAGTGGGTTAGAGCAGTGTGCTTGTGCTCTGAGAAGGTTGCAAGTACCCAGTTCCCTCTGGGTTCCCGAGTAAAACCCTTAACCCTGCTCGCTCCCCAGGCACCACACGATGGCAGCCCACTGCTCCCAAAGGGGATGGATTAAATGCAGAGGTAAATTTCTCCAATGTGAGATCAATAAAGTTCAAATATTTATTTTGGTGTAGTACTGACTCCAACCACAAATAAATTAATTGTCTGGATGAAATAAATTATTTGCATGGATTTAATTTTTTTAAATACTAAAGGGCCATAATGACAATGAGCTTAAATGAAACAAAAATAATGAGTCTATTTTTGTAATGTAAGGATTGGAAAGTAGGGATAATTATGAATAAAAAATGTAAGGAGCAGAAGTTACAAGTTGTCTAAAAATGAATTACTCCAGTAAAGTATATAGCAGGACAGTTATAATCTGATTTGAAGCTTTAGGAGAATTAGTGCATCAGCTCCTGAGAAAGTAAAAAAAAAAAAAATACAATTCTAAACAAGAAAATAACCCAAACCTAATTTAGGGGAAAATGAAGGCTATATTTTTATAGTAAAGCAGTACATTTGGATGATGAAATGTGGACTTTTCTTCTGCTCTACTCATCTTTAAAAATAATTTCCAAGTGTTTTTTCCCACAGATTTTCCTGAAAGTTCTGTAATGGCTTCAGACACAGCTCTTACATTTTGCTGCTTTCATATGCAAAAAAAAATTCTTTGATGGATATTTTTTTTTAATACATGAAAAAAGGAAGAAAAAAAAATCAACAAAACGTAATGAAAACCACCCTGGCCTTTTGTCTTATCTCTGTCTTCAAGGTCATGTGTGGAAGTTTAAGGATTTTACAGTGATTAAAAATTTAAATATAAAAAATCTGTTCGTTTTTCATTGTACGTAGTGTACAATGAAAAACGAACATCTTGTTCTGCAGCTGGTAAAATATGTTTAAAGGTTTGATTAAATCTACATAAAACACTGGCTATTAGCTTTGATTTACTGTAGATTCTGTAGGAGGAGAATCAACATAAATTTGAAATGATTAATTCATGGACTTTAAATGCTGGTAACAATAGAAAACAATTGTTATTTATTGTCGGGATGAATTCACAGTGGAAGTGTTTGCATCACAAAACACAATAAAAAAAGCTCACAATAACTGGCATTATCATGATGTGTTTTTCTTTTTTTGATGAATCATGTTAATAATTGAATGGGAGTATTCTTAAATGGAAATGGATATGTAATGTAGATGTCAATCAAAAGAAAACACACGCCACCCTCTTAGTCATGATGTCATTTGGGAGGGACACAGGAACAGGTAACTGATTACACTTTGTATATAAACGGCAGCACAGATGGATTTTGCACTCAAACTCATAATGGCTGGAAAACTGCTGCACATTTTGGCTTTGGTGAGCCTTCTTTATGCAGGTAAATCATTCTTTTGTGTTCTATCATCCAGAAATGGGGGAAAACGCTAGTTAAACTTTTATCAGATTCATATCATTGCATTAAGAAAAAAGTGTTTCTGGAAGTAGTTTTAAAACTGTCATTTAATAGGATCACTGGCTTGTAGTATTAATTAAAAAATTTAGGTGAGTTTTTGTAAAAAAAAAAACTTTTATGTTAAATATCGGTTTTAACTATTAGCTGTTTCTTTTTTGTGCATACTTCTAATCTCTTATTTAACAACCTAATTAATCATGAAAATAAATGTTATAAATGTTTATTGTTAATATAGGTGTTGCTTGCAAACATTTGTGTAACGCATTTGCATATTATTACTGATCAACTATATAATTATATTTTTTAATGTTTTAAAATGCTTTTTTTTTGTATTTCCCAGAATCACATGCACAGCCTAATGGTACGTAGACGATTCGTTCTCACATTTTCTTTTAAGATCTTCATAGATAAGATTAATTGATCCCTTTTTTCTTTCAGAGTGCGGCATCGCTCCTCAAAACCCCAAAATAGTTGGAGGTCAAAATGCCTCACCTGGAAGTTGGCCATGGCAGGTGAGCCTGCAGAGATATGGTAGGCATTCATGTGGAGGTTCCCTCATCAGCAGAAACTGGGTGCTGACGGCTGCTCACTGCGTCGATCGGTGAGTAAAGAATGAGCTTGTTGTGAAGTGATCCAAAGCCAGGATTTGGCCAATATTTGTATTAAAGAGCAAACATTAGATTGTAAATGATTTACAATAGAATTGTTAACATTCCTGAGATATTGGGTTTGAAACTAAGCTGCCTTTTACAGTAAATTCACAGTCTTTTATATTTAATCAAAATCCACATAGCTATCTCAAGTTACCTTGAAAAACATAATAAGAGACAAAGCCAAGTGAGAGGAAAAAGTAAATGAAATTATAAGTTTAAAGAATAGCTGCTGAAGAAAATGTTTGTTGTCCTAAAACCAACTTCTTCTGTCTTTTTCTGCTTCAGTACAAATCCATCCAGGCTGCAGGTTTCTCTTGGTCTGCAGCAGCTGCAGGGTGGGAACACAAATACCCAAGTATCTGTTGGAGTTAGTAGCATCATTGTGCACCCAAAATATAAGAGGAGTACCAATGACAATGACATTGCATTGCTTAGACTCTCTTCTCCAGTGAAGTTCACTAAAAACATCAGGCCGATGTGTTTGGCAGCAAGTGGCAGCCAGTTCAATAATGGAACCCCTAGCTGGGTCACAGGGTGGGGAAACGTGGCACAGGGAGGTAAGAGTCATTTAAAAGCCTGTATTTATTAGTTTTCATTGGTTAGGCTCCATGTCAAAGATGCTATCGACTCAGGAAGACATAATAAACATATATATATATATATATATATATATATATATATATATATATATATATATATATATATATATATATATATATATATATATATATATATATATATATATATATTAGATGTCATAGTTAACACTATGCAGTATGTAAGTGAGAGACACAGCATCAGTTTCTTCACAGTTCTAGTTGCTGAATCGCTCTTTAGCAGCTGTTCTTTGTGTGGGCAGTTGATCTGTGAAAAATTTGTCATGAGAGAAGTGAGGTTGGCCTTGTGTCACAGTCTGAAAGTACGCTGTTAACTAAGTGGTTTTAGTTCAATCTCTCAAATTATAATTTTTTGACTCATCCATCAAGAAAAACACAACACTTCCTTAGATGTCATGCAAGTATGAACAATATCTGCAGCAAGAACTCTACTGATGATGCTGAAATTTGTACACAGAGGCAAAAGAGGAAACTGCATTGGGCCCCGAGCTTAAGGGAGTCCCAAAATAATGGTGCATGTGTTTAATAATTAATGTAATAGTAGGACAATGTCACAGAAGAACTGAAGAACACAAACCAGTAGGCTAAAGCTTATGATGCAACCTCAAAATATCATTCTCCTGAAGGGGCCATTTCAGGGGAGGTTCCCTAGTGTCTATTAAAGTGGCCAACAATCATATGAAGCAGTAAGGGCATTCGAATGACAGACTTAGTCACCCTTCCAATTTGTGTGGTGACCATATTTTGTAGCATAAATTGATATCATATAAAGTAAAAGCTGCTCAATTTCTATGATATATAAAATCTGGGAAATATAAATAGATATAAAACTTATTTAAATATTAGGTTCGTTTTAAACCTCAGTCTTAAAAGTAGTGGTTGTTGTTTATGGTATTTTGTTTACACTTATAATCTAGTTTATAATATTATGAAATCCTGATTTAAACTTACTTTATCAGTAAAATGTCTCCTGAGCAGATATTATTCAAAGTGGAAAATGCTTAGAAAAGTAACAAAAAAGGTTTAGTTAAAAAATGTTAGATTATTTAGCCACAGACAAGTTCTTCCCTTATGAAATGTTAATTTTCTTTTTAAAAGTGATTTTTTTTAAATGTATTTATCATAAAATCAACTTTGTCAAACATATTATCAAATTACTAATTACTACATTCTTTGTCAAAAACAGTAACTGATAGAATACAAAATTATTAAAATGATCATTAGCTGCAGTCCTAGTAGTTTATATAGTGATATTTTTGCATTGGTCATGTGTCCTTAATTGAAAGTAAGATGGAGTATAATGCCTCAGTCAGTTGTCTCTTCTGCCCAGGGCCCAAATGGTGTCCTTTGTTTATAAAATGATTTGCAGCTTCCAATAATTCAATGGCCTCTTTCTGAGAGTTTTGACTCAAGCTCCTGGATATCCATTGTTGCACATAGCAACAAACCCTTTGTAGTATGTTAATATATAGCATGTGCATTCCCTCAGTGTCAGTTTTTACGCTGTATGGACCTAGGAACCTTTGACAAGTTTTTTTTTTCTTCTGTTACACAGTGGTTCCTAAATGTGTATGTTATTATTTACTGTTATAAATGTTGTCAAAAATGTTAAACTTATGTAAATTTCTAATTATTTTTCAAATAAAAAACTGTAAGCATTTTAATTTTACAACTAGTAAAAGGCAAAAAAAAGTTTGTGTGTTGGGGTGTTTGGGGAAGCATACAGAAGGATGTTAATGCATAATCAGTGATTGTGTCTGATTATCTCTCACACTTTACTCCCCAACAGTGCCTTTACGACCTCCCAAAACTCTTCAGGAAGTGAAGGTACCAGTTATAGGAAACAGACAGTGTAACTGTTTTTACAGAGGGATTACAGACAACATGATCTGCTCTGGTGTTCTGTCAGGAGGCAAGGACTCGTGTCAGGTACTCTTCTTGATTTGATATATTCCCAGAATATAACATTGTTAAGTTCCCATCACTAATTAATAGTCAAAAATGTCTATGTTTTGGATTTTTTTTTCAGGGTGACTCAGGAGGTCCGATGGTTAGTAAGCAAAGCTCTCGCTGGATCCAGTCCGGAGTTGTTAGCTTTGGGGAAGGCTGCGCTCGACCTAGGAAGCCTGGAGTCTACACCAGAGTGTCCCGTTACCAGTCCTGGATTAACTCCAACATCAGAGATAATAAGCCAGGCTTTGTCCAGTTCACCTCCAGCGGAGTGGACCCTGACAAAAACTTTTCCTGTCGACGCTCGCCATTTTTACCCAAATAACAAGATCAAGACCTACAACTGTGACTAACAGCAGTTTTAACACCAAGTGTCTGCAAAAATCAAAGTTTTAATTTAAGTGAAAACAATATTCTAATTCTCAAAGTAGACAACAGTACTATTGTATACAATAGCAAACTATTTCCTTAAATACTTCTGTCATTGTCCGAATGTTTGATCTACCTTAGTGCCAACTGTAGAATGCAATTGTATGAAGTCCTATTTATTCTGATTACACAAAACAAAACCTGCTGTAAATTACAAAAAAGATATGATTAAATACATGATTATTGTCACATAAGAGACTGTGTGTGATTTAATTTTTATGTAAATGCAACTGTTCTATGAAGGCCTTCAAGGTTTTTAAGAGACAAACATCTTAAAAACCAGGCACGAAGCAGACAGGGCAGAGGGTTGGGATACTGAATAGTAAATTAGAAAGATACCTCAAGATAACAGAGGACAGCCCATCCATCAACCTCTTTATGAAAGACTAAAAAGAGAAAGCCTGAGACGTCCCATTAAAAGCCAAGAAGGAGGCAGGACAAATGGTTGGAAAATAGTTGAATGAAACAAGAATTGTACTTTCTGTTCTACATGCATAATACAGCTGAAACAAACAGTAATGAAGTCAAACACATAATTTCCATAGTGAAAACTAGTAGAGGTAACCTCATGCTTTGGAAAGGCTTTCTGCAGCAGGGGATGGGAAACTGGTCAGAGTTAATGGGAAGTTAGATGGAGCAATTTTCAGCAGTAAAATCTGTTGCGAAAGACTTATTTTACTCCAAGGAACCTATGGACGATTGTTAATATCTATAAAAGCTATATCTTTTGCACTTATTAAACATACACTGATCATAAGCTTTGACTCTCTTCCATTAACTTGATTTTTAGGACATTATCCTTTTAAACTGTTTCAATGTATCTACCTTAAAAGTGCATGAGACAACTGGAGGTAGGACCAATTTCTTAAGGCTACATGAGTCTCCGACCATATCTTCAATGTGGTTCATTCCTTGCGATTTCTTTTGACTTGGTAATCCAAATATGTCCTCTAAAGAGGCCCTCATGGGAGGTGTTATAGTGTAATATAATATAATATAGTAACACCTCACTCCTGACATCTTCCGTCAGTGAAGTCACGGTCCCGTAAGCCTAGCACCATCGTCCCTGCTGTGCAAGCAAAATTAATGTGAGGTACTAGACATATCTGCAATCAACAACAGTTATTTAAGATTTTGAGAGGACTTCACCTTTGAAATTCACAAGACCTATAATTAAATTGACAAGGCCCACATGCGTGGCATTTGAATGTTGTAATACATCAAGTAAAAGTGAAAAAAAAAGTTAGTTATTTCACCTTTCCGATTCATGATTCACCGAGGACGTGTTCGTCATTGAATTGCCTACTTGAAGAGGGAGGATTTGCCGTTGAACTTCTGGCCAGAGAAAAAACACGCATATGTAGCCAACATTTTGAAGACGGTTTTCAAGATGACTTGGATAATAGTGCGTTGTGACAAACACCAGATACAGCATTGGGACTTGATCAACAGCCGATACTGCACCGTGACGTCACAAACTGGTAGGTGGCAGTAGTTTTCATTGACAAATATGGATGTTTCCGGTAAAGCACATTGAAATGAAATTTCTCTTAAGTTAAAACACTCAACACATTTATTGAACAGTATGTAATAAAGTCATATTTAAAGTACTTTCGGAATTTTGAAATTTCCTTTAAGTAAAAAGTAACGATTTTCCTTTGTTTTATTTCTAATTAATATTTAAGTAAATTTTACTGAACTAATATCAATCTTAACTGTATACTATTTTTTCACTTTTCATTATATTCAACTTATTCAATAAAACTCAATAAACTGAAAAGTAATCAAAAAAGTTGTCAGATTCAGACACCTATTGTTGATTAAGACAAACAAGTATTCCAGTGCCTATCTACAACATTCTATCTGCAAGAGGTGGAGGGTACAGCCTGGACAGGTTGCAAGTATGTCACAGGGCAACACAGAGGGACACAAAGATATAAAAACCAGGCACTCACAAGCAAAATCTAAAGAAGCCAATAAATTTTTGGACTATGGGAGGAAGTCAGAGTACCCAGAGAGAACCCACATCTGCACAGGGAGAACATGCAAACTCCATGCAGAAAGAACCAGACCAGAGATTAAACCAAGAACCTTCTTGCTGCAAAGCAACAGTGCTACAAATTGCACTACCCTGCAGCCAGCAAGCAACAATGTTATATTTCTTACCAAAACGTGTTCATGTAATTAAAAAAAGCACAAAATTGATTAATATCCAAGTAAATTTTACTCGCATCAGTTAAGTTGGGAACTTATTTCAATTGTTTTGTAAATACTATTTGTTAAGATAAATCAAATGTACTTGTCTTTTGATTGATATAGATTTTAAAAATAAATTCTAAGTTACACATTATAGTAGATAAAAGTTGTCATTTTGAAGTAAAGGCACTTACATCATAATCTGCCGTAAATTTTACATAAAAACTGAGGTAATATTTATAGGGCAAAAAAGTCCCTTTTTTCAGTGCACTAAGGGAGTCAATTCATGGCTGCTCTGTTGGAACAATAAAACCAGAGAATATCTCTTCTTTTTTGTGTTAGTATTATAGTATTTCTAAACGGGAAATCTATCATTTTTATTAAATCTCACTGCTTTCCAAAAGAAGCTTGAGAGATTGATTTTTGAAAAGTTTTCAAGAAAATATATATTTTTTTATTATTTCTTTAGGCACCTACTGTAGTACTTCCATGTCCTGGGTGATTTAGAATTAATCATAACTTCCTTTGAAATATATGTTCAAGCCTCTCAACATGATAAGACTAGATGTACCATTGTTAATACCTGGATTTCTGAGACCTTTACCTCTGATGACTTCTGCAACTTCTCTACTTGTATACTCTTCTCTGTTAGAAGACCAGCCATCCAAGATGGCTTCACGCATCATATAAGAGTTTATTTTGAACTTGTTTTTGTATAAAACTACATTTATAGAGTTAAAATTGTCATAGTTATGTTTTTGTTTAGTTTGGTTTTGGACTTATGAGGATTTTTCTGTTCACCCTGTCACTGTTCAGCCACCAACAGTTATCCTACCAGCGCAGTCTCCTCCAGCTACCCTCCTACTCTAGATTAACTTCACCTGTACATACTAATTAGTTACTTAGCTCACCTAATTACCTGCCTACTCATCTCTGCTAGAAAGTGTCACTCTCTTTATTGCTCTTCCATGTGATTTGCCTTTGCTTTACTAGCTCATGTGTGCTCTTCCAGCTGGACTCTCCTGCTAAGGTCACCTGTGTCTACTTGCTGCAGCTCAGCCTGTTCCTCCTTGAGTCTCAGCTGCATGCTTGCCCGTTCTGGTGGTTCTCCGGTCCACATGGCCTGTTGGCTCTGTCACCGCCTACATCTCCTGTTTCTCTGCTCATCCCTGCAAACCAGTACTTTCAACCAGGATTTTTCCGCCAAGACTGACTGTTTACCTGCTTCATCTGCCATTATTTACCCCTTTAATAAACCCTTTAAACGTAACTATGCTTCTGGCTGAATATTGAGTTCACGTCTGGTAATGTGTGATAAAGATATCTACGTATTCTATTAAAACTGGTGAAAATCTGTGTATCAATTACTCAAATTGAAGTGTGTTGTTATGTGATTAATAAGCTTATGTTGAAAGATTAAAATATATGATTATGAATTCCTTGATAATTTTGATAATACATATAAAGAAACCAGGTGATACTCTTTTCTTTTTTCATATGTCTGTTATAGCATCTGCAAAGCACTTCAATTTCTAAAAAATAAGTTATAATTTTCGTTCAATCTTTATAAAATTAAATATGTATAGTGATTTTCTTCCCTTTCCCACATTTCCGAGAACGATAAAAGATTAAACCTAATTTCTTTTTAAATAAAACAGTACAAGAAACAGTTCATGTGTATATATTATTTATTTCTGAACAAAGCATTTTACATCCTTTTGTCAAGCACATAGTTTTGTTTTTGCTATCTTCAAGCATGTCTTGTTTCAAAATGACCAGCGTCATTCACTTTATTATGTCCAGCATTAAATCACCTGGTCCAATGAAAGCACATCATTCAAAGACTTAAAATACAGAAAATATTCACTTCTCAAAGTGCAAAACAAACATGAAACATTAAATTTAAGATCCCATTTTTAAAGAAACATTACATGGCATTTATAGATTTTCTTTGCTTTTAAATCCTTTCCAACTTACATAATGGTCCATTAACCTTACAGTCCCATAAAATGTGCATTTAAATATCCAGATTTAAAGCAGCATGGCTCTCTTGAGCTTCCTCAATTAAAGTTCATTAAAAAATGAGTGCATCATCAACACTTTCCTAATATACAGAGAAACGTATGCTTTGTTGTCTACACTTCTGTTTAGCAAACAACCACAGGGAATGGTTGGAGAAATACACATTGTGTTTGGTGCATTCACAAAATGAGAATGGACATCAGATACATTTCATAGAAACAACGATTGTTATAAATGTATTAGGTGGACATAAAAGCTGATGTCTATGAGGTAGAAATAAGGTGGAATTTCATCCCTCTGTTGCTGGGTCTCCTCCAGCTCCTGGGTCTCCCTCCCCGTTATCGTTAATCATCTGGTTGTATTTGCTCTTAAAAAATCCAGCCTGAGGGGCAAACAGTGTCGGTGTGGAAAAAGAAATGTTAAAAAAATTAAAGCAGTATAACGGTTGTGTTTTTTTAATTAAATTCAATAAAAAATTTTGTTAAATTCTACCATCAGGGGTTTTCTCACCTTATATAGACCAGCAGTAAGTAAGAGCAGAAAGGCCAATCCGCCCAGAGATCCTCCTATAATCTCTTTAGTAAAATCTGGTTTCTGAAACACTTCTACTTCAGCCACAATCTAAAAACCCAGAGGGAAAAGTTTTAGATAAAAAAATCAGAATATATTTTTAGTACCAAGACATTAGAAATAATATGGTATCACCTTGTGAACAGGAGGGTCATTATTAGAGGTTGTAGAGAAGAAGATGAACTGGCTCTTGTCATATTCTAGATTGGCTGTGCTGGTCAAGAGGAATTTGGCAGATAAAAGTCCAATCTAAAAAAAAAGAAAAATAAAGATTTTAAGATAATGTTCAAAGTATTTACAAACTGTAAACAGCAAATCTCTGCTAACTTATCATCCAATACCTGTTCTATCCATCGAGAGCTGATGTTTCCAGAGATGGTGTATGTTTCTTCTCTGTTCTTTTCCATAAACTTGGAGCACCTGAAGACTTGGCAACTCGCTACAGAGCAATCCTATGGTGAAAAATTCAACAGTTCAATATAATTTGCTTTTATAGAAGCATTCACAGTTAAGACAGCAAAAAAAAGGAAACTATGATTATTCCTTTTTACTTATCATGGTCCCGCGGGATGAAGTTTTAAAGTTGATTTTACTCACCCCACACAACATATACAATTTTAAACAGTGGAACCCTGGTTAATCAGTTTCAAAACATATTTATTATTTTTTGTAGGTTTTTTATGCATATTTCAAGTTATTTACTTTAGCTTTCTGCCATCGATTAATTTTGCTTTAAAAGTAACTGGTGTTTAGAAATATGTATGATTTAATCCACCTTAAGAGATAGTCGAGCCAGAAGCATATTGTTGCCACCGTATTTGCTGTAGGTATGGTGCTCATTTGATGATGTTCATTAGGATCCAAACACATTCTCATACAAGGTTTAAGAAAACTTAAGCTTAATTGAAAAAAAATAAGTCTGTCTTTCCACAGTATGGAGAATACAGGAAAATGGCAGCTGGAAGTAAATCTAAATTCCTGCAGATCTTCCAGTGTTGCAATCAGCATCTTGGTAGAGTCCCTGACAAGTTTTATCTTGGTTTCAGCATTCTCTTTCTGCTATTTTAAACAAATGTTTCAATGTTTTTTTTTACTTTCACTTAAAAGTATTGTTGAAGATTTTCGCGATTTTTGGCAAAAACCTGCCCTCTCCACAAAAAAAAAAAAAAAGGGCACATGCACAACCCTGTACCCGCTCTTGTGAGGGCATGCCTATTAAATTTGTGCGAAAGCATGCATTAGCCGCTTTCTCTTCGAGGAAGTGCGAGGATGCACGCAATGAAAAGACCGACGCTCAGATGGATCTCATCTCACCTATATTTATATACAAAAAAATGTTTCCCTAAAAAACAGACTTCTGAAACATAAAAAAATTTGACATATTGTGTGTGTCTGCAGTGGAAATTTGGACATATTTGCAGGGTAAATAAGGATCTGTGGCTACTTACAATATAGAGGTAGATAACTTTTACTAGCAGTGATGTGAAATGGATACGGCGAAAAATTAGCGATAAAAAGATAGCTACTTGGGAATGAGCACGTAGGACGGCCTTACGTAAACACATCACCAGAATGATTGACAATTAGGAGGACCGCTTATTTTGATGATCCACTTGGAAAAAGAACATCCTCCTCTATACCTTTAACTGATAATTTTTTGAAAGGCATATTTTGGATATTTGGGGTATTATAAGTGAAATCCTGACTTTATGTCAGTGTACTCTAATCCAGTTCAGCTCTGGGTAGGTTTGAAGTCTAGAAGACAGGCAAAAACTAAAACAAAAGGTTTTACATTAGTTCAGTTATTCACCACCAAACCTGAGATAAGTTCTGATCATTGATTTGTTTATTTAAAAGCTGAAGAGGACATGATAGAGGTCACATTATGAGGAAAAGCCTGTGAGATAATTCATCAGTGAACCTTCTGAGGTTTGTTAACTTTCTACGGACACTCTATTTATTAAACACTTGATAAAAAACATACTTACCAGGCTTTTATTTTCTTTTATCTGAGGAATAAAATCTGTGACAGAAGGGTTTACAACCTCTCCTTTCTTACAGCCATCAACCTGAAAGCAGAACTCCCTCACGTCAGTTTGAGTCTTCATCAACTTTAAATTAATACGTTTGTAACAATTTTCACCTGAAGACTACTTATGTCCGCCCAGATGTCTTTGTCACCAAGCTTTACTGGAACCTTGATCACTATAGTAAAGCTTAGTGCTCTGATAACGTTTGTAACCTAAAAGGAAGAAAATAAAATTAATTATATTAATTACTGAACTTAAGGCAGCAATGTAGAGGATAAAACTTATATGACTTAATGATGTCATCTTTACCTTTAATTTTTGCTGAAGAGGTTTCTGTAAGTCATTCTCTCCATATGTGAAGTTGTTGTAGCTGAGGGAGCTGAGCACATGTAGGATGCACGCATTTAATAAGAAAAAAAATAAACAGCGTGGAACTTTTAATAGAAATATATTTTAATGAACACACCTTTCAGTTGTAATATAAATACTGTACTTCACATCAATCTCTTTCTTCATGTAGGGTACGCTGGTGGAGGCACTCTGATTGTTGCCGCTTGGAGAGAAAGGCAAAATGAATAAGTTAAATTAAGAAATATGCTTAGAAGAGCTGAACCATATATATTAATGAATTGTACCTGGTGGCATTCGCTGTGACATAGATCTTCCTATCAAGTTCACTGGTTGGGTTGTGGCCATAGGAAACAATGAAGATTGCCTGAAAATTAAATGAAAAAGTTTCAGAAAACAGTTTCTTCTGGCTCAGTAATGTCTTAAACAGTGAAAAACAGCAAAAACTAACCACAGAGTTGCTTCTGAATATAGGTTTGTTGATGCTACAGTCCGTCTTTCCTCTTGTTACACCATCCTCACTGTCCAAAGAGTTGCATTCAATTCTTCCCTGTAATAAAAGACAGAACATCCACTCACTGCAGCATTGGTCGAAAACAAACCCACTTTAAAGTTGACCCTTGTTCCTTACTTCCACAGTTTCGAACTTCCGGAAGGAGAGTCCGATTGGGTACGTGAGAATGACGTGGCTGTTGTATGAATTTTCTCCTCTGTTCTCCACAAAGACAGTCACATTTAAAAGTTCATCTATGCCCACTTTAACCTCTGAGGATCTGAAAGGATCAGATAAATGACAAAAACCTTACATATGGAGATAAACATTATATTTATAAGTTTAAAAGAATATGTAAAAGCCTCATGAGCTTTATTTCCAGCAACAAATCACTTACTTGGTGAAGTTAAAATCCACCTTTAAATCATCTACGCACTTTGAATCTGGCCCACAGCTGATCTCAAACCCAATCTGTGAATGACAGTAAACTATCAAGCTATTACAAAGAACAAACATTTTATTCAGGTTTTGTAAAGTTTATTAAATAGCTTTTTAAAGAAAACGTTTAGCATTAAATGTTTAAATAACTCTAAAAATACTGAGAAGTAGATTATGCTGTTCAGCTAAATTGTGAATAGAGGTTACTAACAGAATGAAAGGAAGTATCTTGAGCCTGTGGAGAGAGGCTTGGTTGAGGTTCAGAGCCAGTAGGCAAACCATCAAATGTGAATCTAAGCGCGTTATTGAGTGGATAAAGAGCATCTTCTGGACAAGACTGTAAGCAGAGAGAAAACAAATGAAAAATTTATTTTATTTTATTTTATGTCAAATTACGGTTGAATTAGATTAGATTAGGACTTACTTCAATAGAGAAATCCACCCCCTGACATGTTTGCCTATTTAAAGAAAGAGTCAGAAATCCGTCCTTTTCTCTCAGGTTCTTACTGATCCAGGCTCGGTTGTTTGGTATTTCACGGTTTGCATCCAATGTTAGAGTGAAATTAATCTTTGCTTGAGCTGGGAGATACATTTGGTTTGTTAAAAGTTCTCAAATAACAGAAGAGAGAGTTAAATGAAATATGGTGAACTACCTTGCTTCAGTTCAGATAAGTTGCTCATGGTGAAGCAGACAGTGGCCCTACCAGCCAGGGGTTTCAAGCAGTCTGGGTTCTGAGTTGGGATTTGAGGTGGAATGAATGAAACAGAGGCCCTCACCATCACAACTGGTCTGGATCTAAAAACAAAACAGAAGCTTGTGAAACAGGTAAAGCACCAGGGGTCCATTTCATGTAGCAGGTTTATAGAAAATTTTAAGTTATCTAAACCTGAAAACAGGAAAACTCTTGACTCTGCTCTCCCTACAGCCATTCACGCTGTTTTATTTCCTGATCTAGTCCGATTTTTGTCGTAGTTTTGTGCATAAATATATATATATATATATATATATATATATATATATATATATATATATATATATATATATATATATATATATATATATATATATAATTCTGTAATTAGTTTTTAAAATCAAACATTGCATGTCAGTTTGACGGGAATCTTATTAAATGATTGGCACTTTTTCACAGAGAATTAAATGTTTATAGTTTACTGGTTTTACTGAATATGTATTCCTGATATCTGAAAAAATTTATTTTTCTTCTAAATGACCATTTCAAGCAAAACGACATTCTCTACATCTAGAATAAACATTCTGGATGTCTAGAAATTAATTTCTGATCTCCATATTTCTAATATTACTGGTCAGCATTTGTATTATTTTAACTTTTAAAAAATGTTTTTCAGATATACTCAGTATATCTAACTCAGTGTGGACCTAGTTAAAATTGATTGAACTAATTCATAGCAGTCGTTCTCTGAGGAGGTCGATGGTGATTTGGATGTGCATGGCTTGTGTTTCTAAGTCGCTTGTGGAGAAATGTCCTGGGTTGTGAGTAGCGAGGAAACAGGAATTGATTCTTGTAGGATGGACAAAGTCGTACAAAGTCCTATTCCTTTTTTTTTTTTTTTTTTTTTTTTTACAGTGTCCTGTCTGGCAAGGTGGCAAGAAGAATAATTGTCTTGATGCCAAAAGGAGCCCAACATATTTTACTTTCACAAGTGTAGCGGTATGGCAAAGTCATATTCGAACTATTTAATCAGGAAGATACTTTTGCAGATTGGAATCCGTTTCAGTTAACAAAAACAATCAACTCTTAGGAGAAGTTAGAAGTGCCACAATCACAATCAACTGCAGAGACAGCGCTCAACAAGGCAAAGCCATACGGATTAACAAGATTGAGGGGAAAAGAGTTCCGTGCAGCTTAGTGGAGAACAAAAGGGTTAGTAGAGGAGTTCCTCTAGAAGTAACTGACAAGGAGACTCCTGAAAAAATAAGTGGTGCAATAGTAAAAAAACGTGAAACAGATAAAAACAACAAGAAATCGAGAAAGGTGTGACAGCTTAATGGTATTGATCGATCAAATTTGAAGAAGAGAAGTTACCGAGTAAAGTTTTCCTTGGATATATGAGCTACAATGTCAAAATGTACAATTCTCCACCACTGAGATGTTTTAAATGCCAAAAATTCGGTCACATAGCAGCTGTATGTAAGGGCAAACAAAAATGTGGAAGGTTTTCTGGAGAGCCTGAATATGTAAAGTTTGTTGAAGAAGTTAAAATTAAATGCTGTAACTGTGGTAGACAACATACAGTACTTCTACTTATTGCGGTTGTGAACTGAGCAAAAGATCGGAAGAGATCAGTTAAGGGAACTTAGAACTCAGAATAAGTTATGCTGAAGCTGCAAAAAGAATCCTAACTCAGTCAGAAAGACCCAAATCAACTGTGGCCCAAATGAAAAGTGCAAAACCTCTAGAGAACTGCACCAAAATTTCAGAAGACTCATTGATTCTCGAAAAGAAGGATTTTGTAGAAGTGATAAATTGTAGTGCTAAGAGACAGAAAAAAATCGAAATAATAGTGAAAGCTGCAGAAAAGGATCTGGAAGTGAGAGATTTAAACTGGGAAACGGTTGAAAGTATGAAGGGGGAAAGCGAGTAGGACCATCAGAAACTGACAGTGACATAAGCATAAAGACAAGTTAGTAAGTATGAGGACAAATTTGATTATGTATTTCATTATTTTGCTTGGATTTGGAAAACTTTTTTTTTTCTCGGGGTGAGTGTTGTTTCTTGTTTCCTCGTTTAACTCCTTATCAGTTGGTGGCAGTAATGCACTTTAACTAGTTTGCCAACTAGTTTGAAACCGAACACTCAGGGTTCCCGACTTTTGGCTAGATCAACTTAGAATTGCAGATTTGAATCTGAATTTGTTACACCTGCTTCATGAAATGGACACCACACAGATTGTCTCAGTAATATTTCATTCTACCAACATATTTAATATGCAAATGAAGATTTTTTTATAAGGCATATTTTTGTGTTATGATTTGTTTATCTTCACAGGACTAACCTCAGTAAGATAACTTTTCCCTTTGAACCCACGGCTAAGTCAGGAAGTCCGTCACCGCTCTGATCATAAGAAGACTGACTGATTGAGATACCGAACAATTTCAGTCCTCCTTGGATTTCAGAGGCAGCAATCCTCTGTTTAATGGGAAACATGTTGCTTCATCAAGTTACAAACATGAAATGGTTCATCACATGAAAAACATTGAGAATGTTTCATGCTTTTGTTTTGCTCACCTGTGAGTATTTAGCATTTATTTTTTTTCCTCCCTCTCCTTGAAATATGTAGATGCTGCCTTGGCCATTATTCTCCAAAGGAGCCCCAACGGCCAAATCATTGAATCCATCTGCATTTATGTCGGGAAGGACAGCAAGAGACGACCCAAATCTCCCTCTGTCAGGTATGCCTTTTAGTTTTATTACGAGTGATGGATTATCGATAAAATTGCAAGACACAGTCTGGAGCAAAGTAAGGATGGGGGAAAAACATACCTATGTTTTAACTCAAGCTTAACAGAAGATCAAGTTACATCGACTAACTTGGTTAAAGTAAAAAAAAAAAAGGTAAAACATGTAAACATGAGACAATTACCAAACGAGTTAATCCACAGACATAAACTCGTCCTTCTCCATCATTTTCTTTGAACATTGGAGCAGATATCAGTATCAGATCAGTCACACCATCAGAATCCACGTCCATGGCACAAACCTCAGCCCCAAAATATTCCCCTGTCTGAAAGCACAGTGGTTAATGATCATCAGAAAGAATCATGAACTTCTTTTGATACCAGCATTAGCTGTATAGACACTTTAGCCTGTCTATTGACTGTCTTGACAGGGCAGATCTAGCTGGACCAATCACAGTGCAGGAGGCAGGACATTACTATGTAACTCTCAGCACCAGAATGACCCATAATGCAGCAGCACTTTCTGTCTAAATCTCCTGACTTGAAAAAGCCCTATATAAGTACAGACCATTTACCATAATAACAAGTTGGAGACCACGAAGGAGCAATGTTGAAATAAAAATCAACAATGTAATAGAGAGTGCAACTCAGAACTTTTAGGGCAAAACATGTCGCTTGGATGCTTGGTTGCATCCCATCCATAGTTATCTGATTGGTTCTCCCCTGCTGAGGTTGACCTTGTTAGTTTTAAAACAAGCTCTACCAGCTCTTTACCAGGCTAATATGCTGTGTACACATCCTATCACTCTGGCTGGCCAGCTATGGACAGTGTTATAACATGTTATATAAAGTTGAAACCAGATATTTACATAAACATTTTAAGAAAAGACCCTTAGAATTTGACTCAAGACTAGGGTGGATAGACCAGAGTTTTGGTTCAACCTCTACTAAATAAAAGGATCACATAAACAACTCAATATAACTTCAATTAAATCAAACTTCTGTGAAATCAAACTGTCCATTTGGAAGCAACATTGATTGACTATCAATTTACCATGCTGTTGTGATAATGGAACTGATGACAGGTGGAAATTGTTGACAATTAGCAAGACACACTCAATAAAGGAGTGGTTCTGCAGGTGGGGACCACAGAGAGCTTCTAACTACCTATGCTTTCTGCCTGATATTTTGGTCCCTTTTGAATGTTGGTGATGCTTTCATGCTTGTGGTAGAATGAGAATACTCTACAACCCACACAAGTGGCTCAGGTAGTGCAGCTCATCCAGGATGGAACATCAATCAAAGCTGTGGCAAGAAGGTTTGCTGTGTCTGTCAGCGTAGTGTCAAGATGCTGGAGGCTCTACCAGGAGACAGGCTAGTACACCAGGAGACGTTGAGGAGGGTTTAGGAGGGCAACAACCCGGCAGGAGGACCACTACCTCTGCTTTTGTACAAGCCAGACCCTTGGTTGCTCACATACACACAATTATCTGGTGTTGCCATTAAACTGGGGTCGCTATCTCAAACATGACCTTGAAGTAACAATAAAACCTACAAACGCTCACAGTCCCATGAAAAAACTGTTGGAAGAACTAGAAAGATGTCGGGGATTCAGTAAGAAAACTAAACTTGTTACACCAAAAAATTTATCTCTCCAAAATGTGGCATTTAACAAGCATCATTTGTTTTTCACTGACTTAAAATAGGAAAGATGTAACCTGATTTGATGCTACACAGAGAAAAAAAGTTAAGTGTGTCTGTTTGTTCAGTCCCTGTAAATATGTGGTCACTGCTGTACCTACCTGTGATTGAAAGGGGTCGATTTTGTCCCTTAGCATTTGTCTAAAAACAGTCAGAACAATTCCTTTGTGTTGATATCTTGGAGCACCAATAATTGTCAGTGGGCCGTAACGAGTTTTAGCAATAGCCATGGAATATCCTGTGAGTTGAATAGGTAAATACATATATTGGATACATCAGTACCTTTCACATGTTCATTTTGAAAATTTGTTAAGTTTTGGGATTAACTGAAGTACCTATATGCGGCTAACAGACATGGGTAAGCAAATAATTTTTCTACAGACTGTCTGAAATTGCCAGACAAACAGTTCTATAAGAGAGTATTTTGTCCTAATCTTACCAAGGTAACTGTCAGCGTCCAATGTAGACCCATATGAGTCTGTACTTTCGGGATTATTAAGTGAATATCTCTTGTACCCTCCTCTCCACTGGTTGGCACCAACCATGGACATCTGAATAAACTTCAATGCAAGAACAAAGCACACATTTCATTTCAAATATGTTTTTTTTTTTTTTTTTTACATTGTAAGATCATATTAGTGAGAACGTTTTATAGTGAGTTTATTCACCCCGGACTCATAAGCTGCTCTGAAGCCCTCTTGAGACATTTCATATTTTAACGCCTCTCCACCTGCTTGAGAACCTGAAATTTAAAAACAAAAGATATTGAAATATTAAATTCCCTTTTAGATCAGGGTTCCTCAATTCTGGGCCTTCAGGTCCAAGTTACTCAAATGCAGCGATCGGCTAAGTCAGCCCAGGAGTTGTGGACAACTGTATACGGTAGTTCCTAGTGGTGGATAGGGACATCAGGAGCTGGTCCCTATGCTAATTGCATGGGGGCAAAGAATCATACTGTTTCCTGGTTACAGCTCCTTCCTTACTGCCAGGATAGCACTTTTAATGGAAACGTAATGGAAACAGCTGACAGATTTTCACTGTGACCTAATAAATAAATGACCTTAGAGGGAGTTAGATGGAGCCAGGCTGTCCGGAGTCCCAATGGTGACCTAACGATTAAACTCACAGACTTTGCTTAAAACAAAAAAGAAATATAATTCCTTTTGATTTATGTTTGTTAAAATTCCTCTGTTAGATATCAAATAAAGTGGGATGTTAGACAATTTTATTTTAGTAGGAAATGGAAAAATAATTACCTTCAATAGAAAAAATCTTGGCCTGCAGATTTTCCTGTATTTTGTCGAGAGCCTGAAAGCTATTCACTTGGAACACATAATCTTCATCAGGATCAGATGCGATCTGATTGAGTTCTTGTCTTGCAGAACCACTTGCGAATGAATTACCCACCTAGAGGTATAAATGCAACTTAATCCTCAAAGGCTAAATAATTTTTTAACAGTAGTACTAGCTGTTTTTTTTCTGTAATATATCTTTACTCTGTGTTCTTTAGTAAAATTTTAAACTTAAGCTTCATATGGCACAATTGAATAACAAACATGAGTGTATTGATTTAGCATTACAGTACGAGAATTATTGTTAATGTTAAAATCATAAATAACCAAACTAAATATACCCAGAAATGTAAATAAATTTCATAAGTTAGGATTTTACATGAGAGTTTATAAAGGGGGCTTGAGGGAAAGAACTGGAATTACATGTTTTAATTATAAATACATTTGGCAGTTACAATTTAAGGTAGGATCTAAAAATGCAGTTAATATAACAACATATCTAATCCCAACAGGTCTTTGTATAGTTTAGCTGCTTGGTCATATAGCCAAGGACGATTTTATATTCTATTACACTCTGACACTAAAAAAAACAATGTTTTCAAGAAATTAGGAAAAAATAAATGAATGTAGCTTACCCCAATAGCAAATCGAACAATCTTTTTCTTATTAGCTTCAGATATTGCACCATTTAAGTAAGGACGATCCTGAGATTCTCCATCTGTTATAACTATCAAAATCTTTTTTACATTTGCCCTGGAACCTTGTAATGGTGTGAAGACATTGTCCCTGTTAATAAATAAATATATAAATAAATAATTGGCTTATTTCCATCAAAAATGAATCAACGCTTTATTTTAACATCGGCATTTTCTGTGATTTTAAACTTATATGTACTCTTAAGTAATGCACTTTAGCTCTGTTGAAAAAAAAAAATAACAGAAAACTACATGCTTTCAACACAGAAAACATAATTATTATGAGGTATGATAATTGTCACTAAGAACATGTCAAACATTATATCCTTCCTCCTAATATATTCTCAATCAGTAGCCTCTGTTTTAACTTTTACCTCTTAATATTCAAAGGTAGTTTCAGGTTAACATTCCGAACGATTCAATTTGTAATTAATAACTGTAGTTTAGCTGTAACTCTATTTCTTTTAATAATAACTTCTAAATTTGTTTTCTCACAAATGAGGCATATGATGTAATATGTATGTTTAAACAATGGTGAACAATTACAAATTTTATGGATTAAATTTAGAAATTCAGGAACTTGCACATGCTGTTATATTGACATTTATCTCATTTTTGGTAGATTTACATCATTCATTCATAAAACTCTCATGCTTAAACTCCAAAGATTTAATCTTCTTTTACATCTATATTTTTTACAGTATACAATAAGGTGGTTCTATCAGAACTGTTCTGATTTTTTTTTGTATCGTTTATCCTGGAATCAATAAGACAAATGAGGTATAAAGGTAGAAGTAAAGCTGCTTTTGGTACTTACACAACCTCACGGATGGCTCCAGCTGTTTGCGTTCCACCTCTTTGTTGAGTGATTTTGTCAATTTCAGATTCCCAGTTATGTGATGGAAAATTGTTAAAGTGGTAATGCGTAAATGGATAACTGGAAAACTGGGTAATGGCAAACTGCAAAAACAAACAAAAGAAATAAGGTAAAAAATCCTTTAAATGAGTGAAGGAAAAACCTAAATCAAATTAAAAACTCAATAGAAATTTACCATTATAAAAAAAAAAACAGAATAAATGGTTTTAAAAAATCAAAATAATGACAAAAGCTTTATTCCCAGTTTCTATATGAGGACCCTTTTCAGAGCAGTCACATCTTTGGATGTTCAAAGGCCTAATAGTAATGCCCAACAGCACCAACTTTTAATAAAAGAACAAACTAAATGGTCTCTCTGAGACACATTAAACTATTAAACCAAATTGCAGTCTCACCTGTGTGTCTTTTCCCAGGAATGCTCTGATTAAATTTTTCACAAATGCTTTCATTTTATTAAAATCCTCACGAGATACACTTCCAGAGCCATCCAGAAGAAATGCAATGTCAGCTTCGCTTCGACACTCTGCAGGAAATAAAACATCAAACAATGATTCTGAATAGTGTCTTATAGCTGCTGATCTGAACTGTTTACCTACCTTCAGTAGCAGATGGGTAAGACTTTCCGAGGCTGTTATCTGGATTTATCTCAAAGCACAAACCATTGTACATGGTGATACTTTTGCAGTCTCTGGGGATGGTTGGACCACAAACCTGAAAAGTATTTATTCAATTATCTGACTGTCCTTTTAGCTCTTTATTTTCATCTTGCATGTCATGTTTATCTTCTGTGGCTCTACATCTCACCATAGTCTTTTGAGTTGATGGATCAGTTGTCATTGATAAACCGAGGGACATGTTGACTTTAACTTTATTCTCTGTGGAAACAATAATGTGTGACGAAAACTTTCCAAAGCTTTCACTCATTGAACAGGGGTTTTCCTATGATATTATATTATTATAACAATGACAGCATTATAAAATCGTTTACTAGTTTTCTCCCATTACTAAAGCTCTTGTAATACTCTAAGGTGACATGCAGACTGAGTTGAACACTAATTCAATGACATGGACCTATTTTGTAATATGTCACAAAATCTTAGTCAGAAATTCAAATCCAGAATTTGATAAGGTCAGTCCTTAAAGGTGACTTATTTTTTTACCTTGATAATGTCCTTCAGATTAGTTATCACTACATACCCTATTTTCCATTAAATTTAAAGTAATTTTGGTTACAGTAGACAGTACACTGCAAAAAGATTAATACAAGTAATTTATTCTTGAAGAAAAGTGTTTTTACCTTCTTCCTAGAGTAAGTAAGTAATTCAGTTTGCCAATGGAATTAAATGACTTATCTTATTTTAGACACATTATATCTAATTATCTTATTTCAAGGCCAAAAATACCTAATCCATTTGCAGAACAACTATTTTACCAGCTCAAATTAAGGACAAAAAGACTTATCTCTATGTTTGACTTATTTTTAGATCTGTTTTTGCAGTGTAACTTTATCGGTTCCATTATGGTTCTGTAATCGTTATCTAATAATGACTGATCTATGAATAATGACTCTCAATGAGTTTTGGCCAAATGCCAAAACCCTTAATTACCCTTTCCTGAAGTTAGCGAGACAGTGTTTCTCATCTGTTCTTGAATGTCTTAAAATCTGTGCATGATGCAAGATAGTTTTGGTTACTTTATGATGTCAGACAGGCTCCATTAATTAATAGCCTAATTCTTAAATACAAGGACTGATCAGGGGTTTAATCTATGAAGCGTGTATACGCACAAAACTTGACCTAAAACTTGAACACAGCAACTTCAATGCAAATGTTATGATCTATGATATACAGACTAGGGCTGAAACTAACGATTATTCTGCTAATTGATTAATCTGCAGATTATTTATCCGATTAATCAATAAATAATCGGATTGCAAGGAGTTACTCAGAGAAGATTTTTCATAGAATTAAAATGAAGAAAACATTTTTTTTTTTTATCTTAAATGCAAAATACTGCTTTTTTTTGTTTTGGTATACTTACTGCTCCAAGTGGGTTAGCGGAATTTATGTTTCACAGTCTCTTCTCCAGTTAACAATTAATCAATAACTAAATTAATTGAGGTTTATTTCAATAATTGGATTAATCATAATTATTCCGATTAATTGTTTCAGCCCCAATACAGATAACTGAAAATGGGCGGACTTTCACTTCAACTCTGACTTATTCTTATAGGTACACACATTTTAGGGGAAATGGGAACCTAATTTCACTTCATGTGAACTTTAAATGTAGAGTAAATGTATCAGATCTGAACCAGTTTAATTTATGCTGGTGAGCAGAGGTGGAAAAAAAAAGGTTGATGATCCATCTTAGAGTTAAAATTCTTTAAATCTTTCCTTGCAATGTCGTTACTTGAAAATCAACAGGATGAGTTCTTCCTTGTTGATCAATGCATAAATGGAACATGGCATAAGGAGTTGACACAGAAAAACCATTAAAACATCCATATATAATGGTGTGTGATGGATACTTTGACTATGCTGGACAAGCTGAAAATAGGATAATTAGGAGAGCATGGCTAGGGGAACTCAGCTTTTAAAAAAAAGGGTTTACTTAAATTCAGTGAGTGCAAGGTGATAATTTTTCAATATTGGGTAAAGTCTTCAACTCTTTTTCCCCATAAATTAAATATATTACTTCAAAACTTAATTTATGTTTACTTGAATCATTAATACCTGATAAAAATAATTTGTTTGATGAGCAATTTGTATGATGACTGAGTTGGGACAAATACTTTTCTGAAGGAATGTATGTCTGAGCATAAGATCATATTACAATGTATTTAGGTTTTAATTAATCTTTTAAACATAGAATCTTAGGAAATGTAATAAGATAAATACTACCTGCATCAGTCAACCAGTCGCACCTGTCTGTTGAGCATCTAAATATTTGTCCCCTCTTATCCGTGTCATATTGTTCAAGTGGGGCGCTGACAAGCACACTGAGAAAAACAGTCAAGGTTAATAAGTAGCAAGTTGGTCAGAAACGATTTTATAAAGATTTTACCAAGTGAAATAAAATAAATTAGAAAAATATTTAAAAGAATAATGCATGACTTGACTCACTCTGATGTCCGCTGCACCACCTGATAGCCAAAACCTGCAGCAGGTTTACTCAGTGATCTCCAATTCTTAGATTCAACATTAAAACCTGGTGCAGTTTCAAAGACTGAAGAATAAGGAGGAAAAATACACAGGAATTATTTATTATTTTATCTGTTGGATGTTTTTATTGTTTATCTGTTATTGTTGCTTTTACTTTTCATTCTTTCTGTTGTAAATGTGCAGTAATAGGTTGGTGAATATTACTATATAATGGGATCTTTACAAAATTCCACTACTTCCTGAAGGTAGCTCTTTTGTTTCCAGTCTTTTTCTACTGGATAAACTGATCAATCCAGGTGTGCCTGACCTCAGTAACCACCTGAATTCATCAATTCACCCACTAATGAATGAGATGAAACAATAGAGCCGCCTTAAGTTTAGGAAGTAGTGGATCTGTGCATAGAGCCCATTGAAACATGCTGCAATGTTGGTTTTTGACCACTAGGGTACACTAAAGCCCAAATCTTTTGCATATCACAACAGATTCAGAAAGCAACAATAGTTGAATAATACTTTATTGTCCCACAGGGATAATAAAGTTGGCTTATCAGCAGAAAATGAGTTTTATCAGGGTGAGGGATATATATTGGTGGGGACTGGGGTACTCCTAAATTTAAGGTTCCCCATTTGAATAAATGTTTACATCTTAAAAATACTATCATCAAAGTCATTTTGAGCATTTTCATGCTATTTGAGTGTAAAAATGGAAAAACTCAGATCTCTAAATTCAATAATTTGCCAATATCTTATTTTTCCTAATCCCATGTTTTTAAATCAAATGGTTTAAAAATAAATTATTTGCAGGATGGGATAACTATGAAACAATCAGGAGAAGCCTGTAAGATCGCCTAGAGAGGTAACTGAATTATCAGACTCCATATCACATCACAAAAACAACTTTAACAGGACATCCCGAGTATTTGTAATAGCTGCAGAGAAGATGAGGGTATTTTGTTCTTCTACCTTTGGACGCATCCAAAAATCGAGGAATTTTTGGGAAAGGTCTTTGGCCTCTATGAATATTTATTCTGGATATTGTTTTTTTTTTTTTTTTTAAAGTAAGATTTTGTTAAATCTTGTTTTTAAAATGTGTCATTTCATCGCAGTTCTAGACCCATCTTTCTCTCCTTCCTTACTTCCCCTTCCCTTACTGGTTCTTTGAGGTGGTTTATGCACTCTTCCCAGGTGAGGGAGCACTGGTAGCAGGTTGCAGTCACAACAGCTGTAACATTTTTTCACATACAGGCAGTATTTTATGTCAGCTAAGACAACCTCCTCTTTAAGTTTGTTAACTGTTAAAGGTGGCTCTCATAAGAGAAATATATTTATCCCTCTAATGACTGTTAACTTTTAAACTATTCTCCTTTTTCTCTAGTTAAACCCTTTGTGGTAAAGACTTAAAAACCCATGAGCTCCTGGGAGGACATGGTTTCCCCAAGATGTTTAGATCCTTCCTGTCTCCTTCCTTTCTCCATCTCTCTTGGAGTCCTTAGACTCTCCTTGTTACACTGCAGGAATTCCGCAAAAAAATAAGGCTCAACCGAACAAACTACCTTTGGTACCATCAGTCACTCCCTTTGTCGCCTTTTAAGTTCCTCATTCTCTAATCATGGTAAAAATTATTTTTTCCAAAAAAACTACATTTAAAGCCTTAGCCAAATGAAAGTTAAGGCTTTTTTTTTTTTTGCTTTTAACAATCAGCTCAGTTAGGTAATCATAATATTTTCACGATATCACGGTGGTCAGAAATGGTCGTATATCATTATACTGAATGACCAGTCCCTAAATGTAAAGCATTTACTTTTTACTTAAAAGTAAAATATCTCTGCAGTGGGTGAAAAGTTTAGGAATAAAAATGTGAACACTTATAGATGACAAATACAGGTCATATATCTACTCTGTTAAAAATGTGTGACTTTCTGTTATATGGAATTCAAGAATTAATTAAATTAACAGGAGCTCATATCAGCAGCCTGCAGCTTCCAAAAGATAGTGATACATAACAATGCTTTTCACATCAGACAGAAAACATCTTAATTAAATGTAGAAGCAAAAAAGTTCCTCACCTGATAAGAAAAGTGTCAGAGCAGTTACCCACTCCATTGCTGCTCTCATGGAGAGCAAACCAAAAGTGTGATATCCTCTTTGGTCAACCAAATTCAAGTGTGAATTGTGGAAAAATTTTACTTTTCTTTACTCAGAATGTCGAGGGGAAGATGTTAATGGCAAACTGTACAAGTTTAAGGGGAACTGCTCAATGCAAAAGGAAGAACACTGGTGTAGGAGGAGTTTAATACAGAGGCACTTTTCAGTTCAGATTGAAAGGTTTTCTTTCATATGTTTTTTCTCACGTTAAACTTGCAGTGTGAGGTTTAACAGCTTTAGTTTATCTGTTAATCGCAAGCATTTAAAATGTTAAAATGTATAATAGGTATTTGCACACTGTTGTGTGTTTTGGTTGTTTAACAACTAATCTGAAAATATTTAGGACATGTCCTTAAAAGGAATCAGTCATCCATCTGTGTGTGTTAATGCAGAACGCTGAACAACTGGGGGGGGGGGGGTCTGAATCACATGGTGATTCAGATACTCTGCAAAGAAAAGTTACCTATAGTTTCTTATATGGCCCAGAAAAACAATTAATACTCCAGCCATTTTGGGCGTTTTGTGACCCCATTCCCCTGAAGTATCATTGTTCATTTATTTTCACATATGCCCTGATAAAAATATGAATTTGTCCTTGAACGTTGCTATAGGCTGTGATGTTACAGCAACAACCTGAAAACATAAGGAATTGTGGTGAGGTGGGAAGGAGACATGCAGCCACACTCAAAAAACAGTCACTGACTTTTTTTGACGATGTAAATGATTTAACGGGCCATATTTGAGGATTATTAAGATGAAATTACCATGATTGTTTTTTGAACCGGAATTTTAAAAGGCAGTAATTTGATCTGTGATTGTTTTTTTCTAGGTTTTTTTTCTTTTTTTGGGATAAAGTTGGTAAACACGACACAGAAAATTTGTTTTTTTTTTCTTTCCTCAAAGAGCAGTTTATGCTTCTTATATGCTTCATTGGTCCACAGGGCAGACAGGAAAACTGAGTCCAGATCATCTAAAAATACATACATATACACATACATCTAAAAATTTTGTCTTTTGTGTTCCTTCTACAAGTCTAACACATGGAACATTTCTGCTTTGACTTCCTCTTAACATTCTCGTCATTCTTGTGAGTCTAAACCATGTTGTGCAAATTTTGAAAAAGTCAGTTCCTATAAGCTGGTAATCGAGGATGGCATAATTTATTGCGTATGTCTTTTATAAAACATTCTTTACAAGATTCTGGAAAAAAAAGAAGATATCAAAATAGGCTATTTACAAGTTTAAATAGACAAACATTTTGTTTTCTTAAACTGATGTGGTGATTTGGTGTAGCTTGAGATCAAAAGCACAACATGCAGCTGTGCCTTGATGATGTGGATTGCCTCGTAGATGATATGTCGTCTTGTTCCGTCCCGTATCTCTGCCTCTATTTTGACTCATTCAGCCCACAGCCCTGAGCACAGGAAGTGAACCTTCCTACTCACTGTTGCTGCTCATCAGAGATAGCTTACTCACTTTTTCAGTTCTGTTGCTCCAAATGGTCATCTGCCACTTAGCTGTGTGACGGAGCCCTGTGTGGTTTTGATACAGATATAAAATGTTCAACCTTTTCCAGAGCTAGCTGGTCGACCTTTGCTGCCAAGCAAATGCGGGCAAGAAAGGTCAGGAAAAGGTCAAGGATCAGGAGCCTGTGTTGCTGTGTCTGGCTTGGATTTCTAAGGGCAGGTTTGCAATGTCACATGCTCCAAACGCCCCCCCACCCCCGTGCTATTAGTGCATACTTTCTATAAAGTGCTATGTAATATTCTCATTTCCCTTCAAAACTTTTCACATTTTGTCTCATCACCACAATTATTTTCAGTGATCTTTTTAAGATTTTAAGCGACAGAGAAACAAAATTGTTTTCAACTGCAAAGCAAAAGCAGACCATACAGGCATGCAATTCTCTGCATATACAAATATATATTTGCAGCTACAAATCTGATAACTGCAGCAGGCATTTGTATTCAGTATCTCAGATTAATTTAACCACTTTCACCACGGTTGAAGCAGAGTCTTTGGGGAATCTCTCTACCACCTTTGCACATCTAGAGACTGAGCTTTAGACTACTGTTTTATTGCAAAACACAAGCTTGGTCAGAATTGATGATAGATTTCTCAAACGTATTTAGCAAAACCTATTCTTATTCTAGCCCATGAATATCTCACATTCTACTGTAAAGTGTAGGTCTTTTATAGTCACAGACATTTTTTTGTATTCAGAACACTGGCCAACTTCCTAATTTTTCGTTTGAGAAAAGCAAAACTTATTCTTATTCTAGCCCATGAATATCTCACATCCTACTATAAAGTGTAGGTCTTTTATAGTCACAGACATTTTTTGTATTCAGAACACTGGCCAACTTCCTAATTTTCGTTTGAGAAAAGCATGATTATCTGATAGTGGGAAAAGTGTTTACAGGTTAATCCGGATGACTGAGAATCTTCACCAGCATATTTACAGGTCAATGTCAGCGTTAATTTTTCATCAGAGATTATTCTGTCTGCAAGATAGTTAGATTTTAGTCCTGCCAGTGAACCTTCCTTCCTGTCTCCTGTGTTCCTTGGTCTTAACAATGCTGTCTGTTTACTAATCCCCTCAAACAATACTCTCAGGGCATCAAAGAATATATACACTGAGATATATTACACAGAGGTGGACTATATTCACTTTTTATATGTCTTCTGAAGGTAACTAGCTTGTTTTGTTTTTTTCTAAATCAAAATAAATGGGAATTAAAACAAAATCATGTCATATTTTTTATGATTTTTATTGTTAAAAAGTAATCATATCCTTTTCCTTCTTCTTCAAATTAACACTCGAATTTATATCGACCAATAAAACACATTGTTGCTGGCAATGAGCACTTTTCCAAAGTACTGTAATCTACAGTCCTGTTCTATCAATTCTTTTTGTATTAAACTGATTGAAGAATAGTAGTGACACTTTTCACTAAAAACGCAGAGAAAATTTAAGAAATTGTTTTTTATTTATAATTTAGAATCAAACAGACCTGCCTGTTCACTTCTACAACCGGCCCAACTTTGTTGCTTTCTCTGCCATTCCCCCGAAACCCTCTTTGCCCTTTTGCTGGCCACTCACTAGCTACTCCAGCCCTAGTGCTCGTTGAATGTCATGAGCCATCTCTGGTTGCGTCCTGTTCTTTTTATAGCTGGGCAGCTGAAATGTGAGGGGTCACAATGGGAGGATAAATACAAGGGCCAGAACGGCAGAGAGGTGTCGCAGACGAAGGCCGGATCTTCTGACTACACCTCTACCCTCAGCACTCCTCCAAAACTCCAAGGTAAAAAGAAGTGTCAAATCTAAAGGTTGCTTTTTATATATTTAAATCATTTAGGATGAAACAAAGATACAGCTAATGCTACAACAACCCGGAAAAAAGATAACCCTGTTGCATGCAACCCACACGCTACCATGGTTTGAGGTTTAGTGCAAGTTTTTCTCAACACTTTCAATAGCTTACCATTAACATCAACAAAGTATACCTGTCTAAAAATTCTCTTTGAACTAGAGCTGGCTACAGTTCTACTATGTACAGGTTATCATGTTGTTCCCCATCTGACCAACATGAAAGGCTGCTTAGACTGAGCAGAAAGAGAATGGCAGACTGTGGTCAACCTGCACAAGTTTCCATTTTACGTATAGGAAGTTCTAACGAGCTATAATTTAGAAGTGGTGTAAACCTTGCTTAGAGTTGTATGGCTGGTGAACATGTGGGGTCTTTCACTCAACTTAAAAGCAATGTGGTGGCATGCCATGTGAAATTAGCCCAACCTATTCATAGAGCATACTAAGACAAGAGAAAGAGGGCAGCAAGTGTGAAGGGAAAGGTCAGTGATATGGAGTTAGAAAATGGAATAGGTCACTCGCATGCTGGGAGATCTGAGGGTAAAATTTCTGAGCAACAGCAAATCATACCTAAATCAATCACTCATACCCAAAACTGCAATTTAAAGCTTGCTTTGCTTTCTACCAGAATATAAAGTGACAAAAAACCCCATGGCAAAACTCTTTACACCACTTCCGTCATACTGTTCACCCCTTACCATTGCCTCCTTTCATTGAGCATGTTCCCACACATCTAGAAGAAAACCAAAACCTCAGATCAGCAGCTGCACCCCTGCAGAATGACTGAACTTTTGACTTCTTCTGTAAAAGGCAAAGCTGAACCCCATGTCTGTTTTCACTGGTCCTTTAACGTTACTTCCCCTTTCTGTGCAGAGTCAGGATGCCTCACGCATATCCTTTCCTTACTCCTGAGCAGAAGAAGGAGCTCAGTGACATTGCTCATAAGATTGTGGCTACAGGCAAAGGAATCCTTGCTGCAGATGAGTCCACAGGTGAGTATGTTTGAGCATTGAACAAAACCACTAATGTAACATAAACATCATTTTACCAACAACCTCAATATTGACCTTGATCACGGTTGTACCAAGGTTTATAAGCATCAGTGGAGCACACGCTTCATTGCTATGGCATGTTGCAGTCCGATTATATGCAACATTTCCAAGTTATAAAATCCTTTTTATTGTCCTAAACACAGAAAATGGCTAAAGTTAAAGGGTCCTTTTTTGTCACTCATCGTTATGGTATATTTCAATTTAGTGTTGAGTTCTCAAAGTAGTTCTCACGGAGAATGCGATTCAAGATAATCCAAATTTTAGTTTTGTACTGCGTTACAAAATTCATATTAATCTTTGTTGAACACAGGATAATACTTTTTGGGTTCCAAAAGACTTTGTGGTGTCAAATTTTGAACTCAAGATGTATGAATTGTAAGATTTTTTACAAGAAATTGCTGTTTAAAGATTGTATAGTAAAACTTCAAAAATCAGAAGCATGAAATCATGTGTTAACTTTAGCCTTGGGTCTAGAAGGTATTAAAAAAAAGACAAAATATATTTTGTCATTTATATTTTATACATATATTAAAAAAACATATTTTGCTGCCTGTACATTAAAAATACATGGGATCTTGAGCCAGATTTGAATAAAACAGTCAAGGATTTTATAATCTACAGGGAGTGTGGCTAAGCGCTTCCAGAGCATCAATGCTGAGAACACTGAGGAGAACAGGA